ACTTAAATTGATGTCTTGAGACATATTCATTTGCTTTGAAGCGTTGTCAATTTGCTGTTAAAAGGGGATATATCCAATTTCTCTTCGTCAATGTCATATTACAGTGTCATTTGACCGCTGACAGTGTTTGATTGGGTGGTGGAAATCTGAGCCTTACTGTTGTGTGGATAGGCGTGAGGTAGTGATCGGCAGGAACGTATGGCCTTAGGTTTTGTGGTTGTTATCATACTAGATCATGGTTTATGAGACGTCTTGCTGATGAATACCAATGGATGCGAAACTTGTGTTGACATCTTCGTCATGACTGTCTTTAACCATCTAACATTACATAAAGGTGTGCTGCAGTCAGCTCTAACGCCACCAACTAGACACATGACCAATCATACTATGCTCAGATAAAATTTAGAGTTTCTAGACTGGATATGTGAGTGGATAAATAATTGCTCAGTGCTCACCATTGTGACTACTAGTAAACGACATCACATGGGGTCAAAATTGCTGACCAGATCCTTGAGTTTATTACCTGGCATAAAGGCTTGACTGATGTTAAAAACAAACATTTCTGGAGGCCATTGCTGTGTGAAGTTTTACCTCATTTAGAAACTCTGTTATAGTGTTGAGTAATAATAATTTGTTTTGCTTACTGTAAATTGAAAAGTACTTGTCACAGTGGATGCGTTTAAACTGATATCTTACATATATTCATATATATATATATATATATATATATATATATATGATTTAATTGGCATGCGTAGAGAGTTTGGAGGGAAAGATATTTAATGTATTCCCATGAATATTTGTTGAAATGTTGATTTTCTCATACAGATTTATGCTGTTTCTGTTGATATGTCAGCCCCTTGTATGACTGTTTAAGGAACGCACTGAGAATTACTTTGTGTCATTTGGTTTTGTTGTAGCTAGCAGTGTAATCCCACGTGTGCGTTTCACCGCATCATTGACGTATCACTCAGATCAATTTGCATTTTAGCAAGTGTTTTCATTCCCAGTAAGACTCGATCCAGAAAGCAGATATTCAAGCATCTTCAAAATTTGAATAAATAATAAAAACAATAGCTGTTGCTGAAGAGGTTATTCTCCTGTTACAGTAACCTAGTAGATGGAACTTGAGTGTTTGAAACGAAAGGTGTTGGATTTGGATGTCAGTGGAAGCCCGGACACTTCTACACTCCCAATCGACTCGTTGGCTATCTGGATGGAGGGATCTGTTCCCTGTGTTCTGCTGTATAGCTACACAAAACTTTCTTTAGAGACGCACAGCCACAAAATGCTCAATACACAGTGAAATGGTGACCATCCGTTGTTGGAATCTGTGGTGTTATTCAAGTAATAAGGTAAAAAAACACTCAAAATTAGTTTGACAGTACCTTCAGGCAGCTGTATAGACAAGGTAAGTTTATTAGTACAAAACAAGTATTTAGAATCAAGTATAATTTTCCCTGAAAATCAAGTAAACTCAACTTGATGTGCTGACACATATTCACTTACGATGAAGCTTAGTTAATTTGCTGTTAAAAGAAGGATGGATGTGAGTTTTCTCGATGAATGTCAGAGTAAAATGTCATCTGTTTATATACAGTGTTTCTTTGAATGGTGAAAATCTGAGCTTTGGCATGAAACAGTTCGGAGCAGTCGGCAGCAAATCATGGCCCTAGGTGTTGTGCACGTCATCAAGGTTACTGATGTGCTTTTCTGATAAGTGTCAACAAGTACGAAATCTAGACTCAGATCTTGCTTGCGACTGCCTCAAAGTGTACTGCAACGGTGAGTCCTACGCCTTGCTAGCTAAATTGTAAACTTGACTGACAGAATTCAGTCAACCTCCAACTCTAAGAACAAAGAACACAAGACAAATCAGAATGTTGTAGACTATGCTTAGATAAAACTTCAATGTTTGATGCAATGGGTGCTGGCTTCAAGGGTCAGTAAGAATATTCGCTGAAAATTCCCGTTGAAACATAGAAAATTAAAACAAATGATTCTTTTCAACGAATTTATTATCAAGCTGTACAGTCGTATATAAATATATATATATGGTCTATAATAAATTGTATCACGTGAGAAAACTGAAATAATCATGTGAATTTGTGGAATTATAAGGGTATGAAATACAATAAAAATTTTTTCAAATATTGGGTTTTTGTAGGGAGGTTGAAGGTGTAGCAGTAATTCATCGAAGAAGACATTGCGAAGTGGTCGCGCTATGTCATGAATAGGCAGAAGTTAGAACTCATCGGTCATTGAATCAGGTCCTAGTGGCTTAATGGTCTGTGACCTCGCCTAGGCCTTGGGTTTGAACCCTGCTGCGTGCGCACTTATGAAGAGTCTCAAACTAGGACGAAACAGATGTCCAGTCCTCCTAGTTGGTTTTCCAATGGTTCTCTAACTGGTGTCAGCTCATGATGAAATCCCCAAAGTAATAAAAAACTGTTTGTGATTACAATCATAATTATGTATTAAGTGGTAAAGCAAACAGTGACATATATAGAGTAAGTTTCATCACGAGTTGACAACAACTACAGAGACACTTGAAAATCAGGGAGAGTTTAGGGCTCTTCATCAGTAGGCGTCCTCTGGAATCGAGACCCAGGACCTTGTGGTTCCAAGGCGACCTCGTAAACCAATCAGACACTTGAATCAGACTCAGTGGCTCCTAAATTCCAACTGCTGCCAATTTTCATCTATGAGTCAACCTCGTAGGCGAGACAGTTCTATACCTGACTTAATAGACCTTAACTGGTTATGACTCTTGGCTAGAAAAACAGATAATTCTCTGTATTGGGCCAGTCATGAGTAACAACCAACATAACAAGGTGAGGATATACAAACTGAATAAACAAACGAAAGGACAGACTAAGCGACTGCAGAACACTACCTTAGCTTTGCTGCAAAGATACTTTAATTGCATATGACACGGCAGGTCATTCTAAGCGTGGTAGCCAGCTGTGCAGGTGGTTCGAGTCGATCTGCATTCGATGTACTCATAAACTCTACTCTTGATTATTTTGTTGACCTGATATTTGACTTTTAATCTAAGGAACAATTATATTTAGTGTGCGATAAACGTGATCTGTGTCAGCGTCTCTCCTGATTTCAGATTCGTCTGAGTATCACTCTTGTGAGGGAATCCTTTACCATTTTAGTGTTTCTGTTGTCTACGGTTGGTATATTTTCATTGTCAAATCAGTACCGTAATTGTCTATCTGGCTTGATATGAGGGAATGAACACATCACGAATTTTGACAGACAGAAGAAGTATCAAGTATCAATTTTGTAGAAATTCTGTTTGATTGGTTAGAAGATTTCACCATGAGCTGAGAGCAGTTCAAGGACAATTGAAAAAACCTGCAGGGAATACTGGACATCTGTTACACCCTAGTTTGTGACTCTTCATCAGTAGGCACCCACCAACAGGGTTCTAACTAAGGACCTTCTGGTGAAAAAGTGAGCAAGCTCGTAGACCAATAATCCACTGATCTATTATGTCAGTTACATGAGATTCTAGTGGAAAGTCGTGACCAGTAGGATACAGAAGGTTGAAGGTGAGGACAGTTACTCATAGAAGATATTACGAAGTGGTTGTGCAATGTCTTGTGTGAATTGGCAGAATTAAGAATTCATGGGCTGGCCATTGGATCAGTCGTATCCCAGTGGATTAATGATCTACGAGCTAGCTAGCCTTGTAACGCAAAATGTCCAGGGTTCGAACTCTGTCGGTGGACGTATACTACTGAAAGGTCCGAAAATAGGATGACACCGCTGTCGAAGTACTCTTAGCTGATTTTCCAATGGTTTTCTAGCTGATCTCAGCCCATGATGAAATCCTCCAACCAGTTGAACAGAAGAAGTCTAAAATCTTACTTCATATTGAAGTTAGCTTTGATGTAGAGGCCATACAAATTTCAGTTAAATTATCCAACTAGGAAGACACAAAACAATTACACCAATGTCATCCATCCGAGTTAAACATCTAATCCATCCTTTCTAATTAGGCATTTATATATTTTTAGTAATCAACTATTCAACAAAATACACTGGAATGCACTTGAAACTGAAAATCAATTATACAAAAAGAAACTTCACACACAAACTACTCTTTCTCATTCTTCTTCCTGAAATATATCTCACACTGAAACCATACAATGACTACAGTATTACACCGGTAGATTCCAAAGGTGAAAAATAAGAAAAATTCTGAACAGAACAAAACACACGAGTAGAAAAGACAATTCAAAAGTACAGAAAGAGAGACAGAGAGAAATAGCTTCATCTATTGGAACATTTAACACTTCAATATTTTTAAACAGTACGCTACAAGCGGGAAAAACAAGGCACAAATCGATGTATATATGAATGCTATATAAAACAATGACGTGGCTTCAAAATATTGTAGCAATAAACCCCATAACAGTCCACCTAGACTATTACTTATCCCATACATTGTACTCGTTAGAATTGCTTGTAAACTTGTTAGAATGTCATGATTCTTATTGATTTTTGTCTCTAAACTCACTTGTTCCGTTTGTGATAATAAAGCATTCATTAATACAGGGAAATAGATCCCGTAGGCAATTTCACCAATTAGAAAATACCAATAATTACTGGAAAATGCATAGCATAAAAATCGGATAGTCAACATAATCTGTGAGATTATCTGACACGGTATGCAACCGAAGCGTTTCACCAGTGGACCTGAAATAAACAACAGTGTCGGGATCTCGACGACAATCGATGTAGTTGTTAGCAAGCCAAGAAAATAATGCGGTACATGATAGATCGTAGTTAGTATTAAATAATTATACTCTCCGATGAATGATATAATTAGACCAGACATAAAAGCAACCATTAGGCATTGGATCATTCTCGGTGAACGTATCGCTGTAGTCAGTGCGCTTGTAAAGTGTTTTTCAACTGGTTTTGTATAACTGTAATTACAGAAAGCCGAGGCAATCACGCCAATCACTTGGCATACTGTGGCTATGATAAGTGCTGGTGTATAATTAGGATTCACTGGACGAATATCTCCTGAATTACTCGCCGTCGTAGAGTACAGCAGTTTTGTAGGCGACATTTTATTCATATGATAATGATTGCTCGACGTGGTATAATGATGGACAACAAAACCAGTTAACAATGAACCAATCATAAAACCGAATGAACCGAATGCTCTAGACTTTCCATAATATTGAGCTTACTTGTTCCAAGGATTGAGTAGGTGGCTGAATCCAGTAGATTTGAAATCGGTGCATGCATTGAATTCATAAGGCATCGGAGAATTAAAGCGAACACTACAGTTGTCCATTGTGCTTCACCTAATTGCAATTTTTGTTTTAAATGAGGGTAAAGTTGAATGGTGAACATAATAATTAGGTGTATATGAATATTTTTAAATTGAAATAAATACGACGGGTGTGAAAGTAATCGCAATAGTGTTTCTACGCACAGTTAAGCAAATTTTACAAGAGATTTATTGCTGATTTATGCAAAATCGATAAAACAGTTGTAAAGAGAGACAAACATAACATCTAGTATGATTACAGCATTCCTCTAAGCACATAATCCATATAATGCAAGAACACCTGGGGAATTCAAATAGTGTTTGACGGCCTCAACTCTTTCTATTACAAGGGACGATAACTATTGTAATCACGGGTTATAAGGTGTTGATATTAGATGGTTGGAGGAAATCGGTGAGAAGCCTTACTCGACCAAGAATTCGTGCTAGTTGGCAATTACCAGTTAGTAGGGCATATCTTCAACCTTGTAGAAAGGAACTCATGTCCCTTCTGAGATTCAAACCCATTTCACTACGTGCAGACTACAATCAGAGACATCACCACTGAGGTATTCAGGATCGCGAATGACCCCCCCCGTATGCTGCATAGGATATACTAGTTAGTAACTAGTGCAGTACTCAAATCTCAGACGCCAAATGAGTTCCTTCAAGGTTACAGATGCGCCTAGCTGACTGATGAGTGCCAACTAATACGAAACCTATGTCAAGCTTGGCTTCTTGCCGATTGCCTCCAACCATCCTATATCAACAATTCACAGTGCAATGCACCGTGATGGCGACTGATACAATTCATTCTGCACCAAACATAGTAGTAAACGCATTACACTAGTTATCATCTACAGTGCAATGAAAGCGTTCTATGTTTGCATCAATTCGATCTGGTTAACAAGTGTCACCAGTTGACATGTGCTGGTCGACGGAAGCACTTCTAAGTATCATCTAGTTTCCTAGCCAGCAAATTTAGGCGGGAAAAAAACACCGCCACTGCTCCTGAGACTTTAAAGCTTGAATATTTAAGTTCCACTGGCAGCGTGGAGGACACGAATGGAAAGAGTCGTATGTTTATACCTTCACCAAAGTCCATTATTCAATGTTTTGAAGTGGTTAACACGAAATGTACAAGTAAGCAGTACGAGCAGCTGAAGAGATCTCATATCAACCATCAGTGGTCGTCAGCACAGTCAAGGTGATCTAAACTATTTCTGTTCCTTTTTATCTATCTCACCACAGTGATACGTATTTGGAATCACTTGAGAAGGTCGAATTAGTTAGGTCACCTAAATTGTGCATAGTTGCCTATTGGTGAACCTGCAATGCACAGAATATGAGTTGTCATTTTGCCTTGCAAATTACACAGTTCCCCGTCGAATTTCATCAATGCATTTTCCTCTAAGAAACCCCACTTACATTCAAAAATCACAACATATAACCAACCTACTTGTCCAGATAACTAGTACAAAAGGGAAATTCAAATCTATGTTGAACACGATGCATTCATTCAGTCTTTCATGTTATATCAACTGAGTGTATGCGTACTGTACCAAAATACACAGGAGGAATGATACAAAATGTTGTACTGTAACTGGTATAATTTGTTAAAGTGTTCTATGAAAGTCAGAATATTCATACTTCAGTGAGTCGTATACCTGACACTAAAGATGAATAATTCTAACTGACGGAGGCAACTTTTAGCGTTAGTCAATAATTCTCTCTACACGGTTTTATTACTCCGAATTTTAACTCCGTCAAACACTCCCGTTCATAGTAAATACTTGACTCCACAGGAAACCATTTCAAAATAGCCTACAGACTTCCATCAACAGTTGTCCATTATGCTTGATAGAAAAGGCCAGATGGAAAGAATGAACGGTAAGGAACCATCCATGGAAATATTCCGATATATATATCTCCATATTTCATTTTGACTGCAATCAAAAGTATTAGCCGTTGTCCATCTATTAATGTGTGTACAAGTTATTAGCTGTTGGAGGTATCCTTCGTCTATTTTCTGTCATCTTTCCCTCTACAAGTGCCTTGTATATGTTTAAATTAATTGATATCTCCTGTTGAAGAATGTTTATTCGATCGAATGCTGGATCTCTGATGATATACCGGTTTCTCGTACGGACGATTATGATGATACCATGAGATAGACTTGTTGTTGGACAAATAACTGTTGGTACCTGTTCAACAAGTGGTAACTGTTGTCATCCAATAACTAAGTGGACAACACTTCAATGTTTGGAACGATGGGTGCTAGGTTCCACTCAGTAGGAACAACATCACTTACTCACTGCAACAGAGGTATATCTAGCTGATAAGTCATAAACAAGATAAGACGTACACATTAGTTTCCACTGTTAGTCAGTATCAGTCAAATAATCCAACACAGAATGCAATGATGTGTACTTATCAAATCAATATAAAGCACCTTTTAACCACTTACGTGTATGTTCGCATACAATGTGTGCACAACCAGACTGATTCAATGTTTCAATATCTTGACAAATAAGCTGAATTGTTCGATTTGTTTGAATTGCTCGTTGATCAGCTGGTAATACATGGTCACTTGGGTAGTGTTGATTTGTTATATAAACTGCTGACAATTTATTCTGAGATGATGTTTTCAAATAGTAGTAATCATTTGTTAGATTAGAATTTCGATTGAATTTACATTCTTTTAATGTGGTTGGCCAACAGGGAGATACATCTGATTGGTCAGTTGGAGGTGGTCTGATGAAGGTTGACAGATAAGAGAAAATAAAAACAGAGAAATTGGAATGAGGACATATTTAACAGGTGATCTAATACTGCAAAATATATCCATCAGAATATGGGAAAACGACCGAGGGTTACAGAGAATAAAAGGTGTTTCCTTTCGACGTGGTTGTAAGCTAGACTGTGTTCTTTCTGATGTCCGTGGCGGATACGAAGGTTTGGAGTACTTCTTTCGCATACACAGTGTTGGCTTGCGGTTTTGGATAGCCGATTCCTCATCTATGTTTTGATATCTTGATTTCATTCCCTTCTAGAGGTTAGATGGGAACTTTGAAGGATTTCTCAAATGGAGCTGAGTGTCCTTAGTTTACGAGGAGTCTCTTTATCATAGTGGAGACACACTTCCGTTCTCCGTTTGCAAGCTGAGATTTTCAAGCTAATGTATGGTAACGCCGGTGTAGTCAGTGTCACAGGAGCAAATGAAGTGATATATGCATGCTGATGTGGCCCAGTGTGACAATTTGTCTTCCATATGATGGCCACATAGTTTCTTCAGGTGGAAGTGTTATTCGTAGACTAGCAGTTAAGTATGTTTCATTAATAGATATTGCAAGATGTCTTCGGAGAATTGCAGCCTCAGTGTCGCTTTCGAATTCGAGATTCACCAGCAAAATCCTTTGAGGTGGAGGCGATGTGTGCGGGCGATGCGATGTACACAGAAGGAGTATGTCAAACATTTGTCTTCAGCATGGCCATCATAAACAGTCTGTTTTCTCAAAAACAAAGAATTTATACTGGTGAGTAGTTAAGTATACACGATTTGGTTTCATGCTCTGTTAAAGACACTTGTATCTTCTAGCGACTTTGTTTATTTTCTTGTTGCTAGTCAGTTGAATGACAGTGGCTGTTTCTGACGTGTGGCTAGCGACCGACAAACTTGACTGCAGTTTGATAAACAGATTATAGACAGTGTCTATCACTGTCAGAAATGTAACCCTCTACTTGCGTTTCTTCTTCAGTGACCTTCTTGTGACAAGTAACAAATCTCTGAAGACATTACCTTTTTTACTACTTATACCTACATATAAGTAGCGAGCATTGCAGAATTTAAAAAATGCGTAGTTTCAATGTAAGTGTCGACAGTCCCATGGTTCACATCTGTTAACTAACCATATTTACCAATTCTCTCCAATACTTCATTAGAATGAAGTCTGAAGTCGAGAAGAAAATTATTCGTGTTAAGGGATATACACTGATAAAGTCTCTGTAAAAATACACACTTAGAAATTCATGTTATGTCCACTTCTGGCTGGAATGCCTGAATGAGAATTCCTGACCAGTATGACCTTTGGAGTCGACTGTGAAGACTGGTACTCGTCTATGGTAATAACTAATGGTGTTGATACGCATGAAGAACTGTCAGAAGTTAAACCTATGAGCTATTGGATTCCATCCAAGTAGTTGATTAGTCAGCATGCTCACTTTACAATTCGCGGGTCCTGAGATCGACTCGCAATAGACCCATGGGTGAGTGGTGGTCAGTACTGTCCATTGCTCACTGGTTTCAATAGTTTCCTAACTGATGGCAGTTCGTGATCAAACCTGAGATGAATTTGACTGGAATGGCCAGTGGTGACAAGGTGTACGGTTATCGGACCCTTTATTGAGCCACTTCCATCTCTCTTCAACCAAGTGAGATCATCATTGACAGAACAGACACCGAGATGTTGATTTCACCCACCCTAAGAAAATTTTAGGTGTTTTAGAAAAAAGACTCTGAAGATTTTTAATGACAACATTGAATACACTAAAATAGTGAGAAAAGAGAAATTGAAAATGCACCACCAACTGAAATAAGTTGGACCATTCTGTCGGATTCCATTGACTGAAAGGTGTACGAGATCGCCTCCTAACCAGAGAGTCCTGGGTTCGAACTACAAGTAGATGCATACTATTGAAGAGTCTCAAACCAATGGGACATAGCAGCTGTCCAGTAGGCCCTGGTAGTTTTCCAATGATTCTTTAACTGATATCACCTCATGATCAATCCTGTAACAATAATAATATATCTCGTCAGATCAATTTCACTCGACAAATTATTGTCCGAATCAGGTCAATTTTATACGAGGTTAGGGTATGGTCCTGTGTGCGTGTATACGTGTCACATTATTTCACTTATGTTACATGATTTAATACTAAGGTGCAGACAATATAATTGTTACACAGTTCGCATTCATTTTCATAAGTATCATTTATTGTTATTGTCAAAAGTTTATGAATGTCTTAAATGCCTACAATCCTTCTAATAATAATAATAATAACTGTAAAGGCAGATTTCGGAGAATATTATGAACCGTTTCATTTCGTTATAAACATATTTGTATGTGTTTAGATTGATCCAATAGACAGAATAAATCGATAAAGAACTTGTGAACTTGACTAATGTATCATTCAACACACAAAAAATAGACAACATTAGACTGTCTAATCTAATAAAGTTGTGATTTCGGTGTAAATATACGAATATGTTTCAGATATGAACGAAATATAAAACTTCTTCACTGAGCAATTCATAGATTCATCGGAAACCTACAAGGTGTAGGGCAATCTTCTCTTGAATAGCTCATTATTAGTATCTCTGACTATGGTACTGGGGGGGGAGACTTGAGCTCAAGTCACAAACAGCATGGATATAAATTCCTCCTAGATTGTAGACATGTATCAGAAACCACGAATCCTGAATGCTGAGCATCTTCTCAGTCCCCTGCGATCACTTAACAATTGATTCAAAGAAAATGCACATCGATACCTGTTCTCCTTCACCTATTGTGCACATTGTAAACTGACTGACAGAATTCCATCAGCACCAGTTAGGACTAGAAAGATAAATAGTGACCACTGCCCAGTGACCAGTCAACAACAGCACACTCAGCCTTTCACTAGGAACGATCCAGTATATCAATTCAGTTAATATGTCACATCGTTAATGACGTGTTACTTAGGCGAAGTAGAATGTACTCAGAAAATTGTCTGAGTTTGGATAAAGCCCTCCACTCTCAGTAGGTAAATCTTCAGCCTGAAGCTCATTTCACATACTTCAGCCTGAGCGACTGATTAGCGCCATGATAACTTGCACAGTTAATGTGGCTGACAGCTTGGAACATGAAACACCTCCCCTTGGTAGCTGAGTTACAACTAACTAACTGCATAAATGCGTCGGCGATTCCGTGGGAGAATATTAGTCAACCACAGGAAACTTTCAGGTTCGATTCTCGACAGACTCATTCCTAAGCTCTGACTAGCTGGTAGTTGAGAATGGAGCTGATAAGTACACCTGATAAAAAGCCGACACCATCGCCACCACAGAAACCTCAAAACTAGAAGCCCCACATTCACTCGGTATGCAAAGGAATGGAAAATGTACAAGCACAAGTAAATTTTCTGAATTCATAATAGTGTGTTAGTACATTTGCAGTCAGAACGGTCAACTGCAAAGAAAGACACCTACTAGAAACGCCAATGGAGTGAAGATCACTGGCTGTTTCAGTAAAATGAAATATACTCATTAAACTAGTTGAGAGTCTGTGATTTGAAGATAGATGTCCCGTCTTCTTTCACTACCTGATTTTTCACTGGTTTCATAACAAATGAGAGAAATAACCTCCAAAGAAAAGTAGAAGTAATTTGGTCATCTGATCTGAGTTGATCTCGGTACATCAAGGATGATCCCTGAAGCAGAACAATGAAAGGGCAGTCGAGAGTTAACATCATTTCACTTTGACTGGCTATCATGTTCTACTGGTCATCAAGAGTGGTTTTCAGTTGTGTATACCAACCAGTACTGTGTGATATCATGAGAAAGAAAAACTAAATTTGGATAATATTTACAGAAATACGTCACACTGATATATGTAGATATACATATATGTTACACCTTGACCGTAGCATCTGTTCTGTATTTATTTCTACTAGTGGACTTATCTAGTTGTTAGGTTAGTCGCGATTTACAAAATGAATGGTTCACTGAGACAGCCTAAAGTCGACAAATCCACTCCATTTCTCTTCATGTTATCTCTGTTTGCATATGCGTAAATGTATCTTTACTTATCAAAGTGTACATACTGGACGGACACAAAGAAGAATTTTCAAACAGCATACAAAGAAAAGATGCAGTAGTGTTTGATATTTTAATTAGTCATCACCTCACTTAGAGTGCTGACAAAAGTGGATGTATTCAGAAATCGTGCAACAGAATGAAAGTAGAGTTCCAATTTACTACATGTCATAGGGGTGGTTCAGGTTAGAGGAATGAAATTCAACTTGTGCATATTGGTCCGATGACTCCTGTCTTGTCTAAAACCGTTCAGCAACACTGTCCTGCATGTTGGTAGAAACACATCGCCTTGTCTACACTGAAGACCCTATCCAAAAAAAGTGAAGAGTAACCTACCAAAGACAATACGCTTTCACCTCCAAAGCATACCTGAAGCTGTAGTCATTCAGATGGAGACAGTGGAACTCCAGATGCAAGAGACAAATCACCAACCAATTCTACTTTCAAGCTAAAGTCATCTTATTATTTCCCATCAACCTGGTTTCTTTTCTTTTTCAACTCTTTCGAATTCGTAGGTAATGAGTCCATCCTCATCCTTAATACAGTTCATTCATCAAACTGCTCGTCTCATTAGACAATTCTAATTCCCTCCTTCTCCTATGCAATAATCAATATTAGCAAGTTTGGTTATGACAAATCATCCTTCTCATCAACATTCTCCTTTGTCAACAAAATAGAATATAAATGCGACTGGTCATCTAAAGGAAATGAATTCACCGCCATCAGCCTCTTCGTTGAATCACTTGTCTTAGTCTTCCTTGATTCAGACAGAAACTACCGATGGCCTCCCTGTACAATAATGAAGAATTTGATTCTATTTTATGACATCTTATTGCTGATTACGTTTCTGTATTTACTGTTATTGTGTTTGATTTATTAGACAGCCCCATTTCATGCCCATTTCATCTTTTGTCTTTACGCAGACTTCTAATCTGACAAGTTGACTTCTGTTCACGTCATTCGAAGTTGCTTCTTGAATCAACCCTGATTTACTGTTCAACTTCCTCTACTTTCAATTTAGTTAATCAATATGGCGAGATGATTACGTAACAGCCTCTGTCTTCAAAATCATTCATTCATTAAGAAGAATAAACTTTCATTGAATTACTCAAAGTCTTATTTTGGAAAAATTCTCACAGAAGTGGAAATTAACTCTTCACTATCTGACTTAAAATGGCTACTTAAATCTTGTCATCAATTTTAAAAGCCACATTCATTTACAAGAGATAAATTCTACATGTATTGTAAATATGATACTGCAGCCAGATTACAAGATTTTTAGGAATTAATTTGGATTCATCACAGTTGTTAAATTGTCTTCATAAACCAACATCATCTGTAATGATCATTAAAAACGAGGGATCAATGGACAGTTCAGGGTTTCGTCCGATTTTCTCGAGAATCTTCAGCAGTATGCGTCCACAATACCATTAGAGATGGAGCCTGTGGTCTAAAATTCACGAAACTAAGTTCGTTGACCATTCAACTACTTGGAGTGGAATTCAGCAACCCCTGATTTCTCACTCCGTCAACTCACTACATAGTGCACTTCCCACTTGTACATTCAACAAACATCAATTTCATCTTAACATGGTGGACCCCATGTTGGATCACGAATTTCATCAGCAGCTTAAGGAAACCCATTCAGTAACCATCAGCAACTGTGTGCTCAGCTAAATCGTGCTCACTCCTTTTCAGTTATCTCTCTAACTGATGTTGATGATGTCGTGATGGAAACCTTTTTTTCTGTATTTGTACTCCTTTGCCTTACTAGTGGGAGATACGGATTCAGCCTGTAGCCTCTCATATTCAAACTACCCCTTCACCAGCTTGGCGAATTTCGGGAGTGTGTTGGCAGGCGGTCGAACCACGGACCAGATGAGGAGTGGTTGGCGAGGGTTCTATCACCAAACCACCAACGCATGATGGAAATCTAACAATTATCATTTAAGTTCTGTTTTGTGTTGGATAGTTAGAGATGGTAAGAAGCCTCGTCACTGTGGTGAATTTGCATCTTCAGAGCAAATCATTTCCTCATCTCAGATTAAAACACACATCACTCAGGTCTGAAGTTGCAGACTCTGTAACTAAGGTATTCAGGCTCACCAAACGATTTCCTCTGTTACTGGTCACTGAGTAGTAAACAGCATTTTGTGCATATTCAGTGACTTGGTGACAGCATTTCAAACTCGTTTGATAGGATTCGGTAATCGACATCTCAGCGATTTCATCTCATGATTACACTGACCCACTGTATCAGAAGAATTCGTAGTATTAACTGGTTAGACCAAGAAGAACAGCTCCTATTTCTCTAGAATATCCTACCTCAAAACGGATAGTCGACAACACTAAGAGTGCTATCCTCCACCTGCTTTCTGATTCCGCACATGACCATTCTAATGGGCGTATATCAATTCATCTGCTACTGCCAAGCCAGATGCATAGGTCTGTCTATGGGGGTCTTATCAACACGTGTTAGGTAACATTACCCAGAGTGACTGGAAAGAGGCAAAACTGGATCATCCAGAAGCTCCACAAGTGAACACCTCGTCAATGCTTCCTCAACATCCCAAATGAATCATCTTTCAGAGTCGTTTACACAGTAAACAAACAAACAACTCTACCAAAGTCGGTGTATTTCGTAATTCTTTGTACTACAGAAGCCTTCGACAAATGCATCGAAAAGTCAGAGCTGTGTGTTTACAAGAAACTAGTCCAACCTACACATTTACCATCGATCTATTTCGGTTTCACTCCTTAGTTTTCGTTTTCGCTTTTTCATTCCGTTTTGTTTTGTTTTGTTTCAATTTCACTTAGAAAAACTACAATTTCAATTTGTTCACATGCTCACCTGTTCGCACCATTCTTCGTTGTAAACAATTCTACATGTTACGCAACTATTTCCTAATCCTGTGTAGTTTTGTCTCTAAGCCTCTTATTATCTCTATTCACACCTTCAAATTTTCATATCAAGCTGAAAATCTTCATCACCTTCAATCTCTCTTTTTGTAAGTGTGTGCAATTAAGTATTACAAGGCATCTATGAGAACTTGTGTATATAATTGTGATTGAGTAGCTGCTTCTAGAGATGAAAGTGCCGAAAAGATAAGGCTGTTTTTGTTGAGTTTCTCATTCTTTTTCTCTATCTGATGTTATGATGGGTGTTATCTCCGATTTGACAGCATTCACTCAGAATAAACAAACAGACTTATGACATTGTTTACTCATTACTGACCAACAAGTATAAGACGTGTTGATTTACTCCCGATCGTATTTATTATCTAATAGTGGGGAATAGAAGAAATCAGATGAACACATTTTCTCCTATTTAGAATTTATCCCGTAATATGCAGCACTTGAATCGAAATGAGTGCTGACATTATTCCACTCTTGGGTGGTTAATCAGTAGGTCGTCAAAACCATAACAATTACACGTTCTATTATTTATTACTTATCCATCCTCATGATTTCCTTTTGTATGTGTTGCCGAGGAAAATCATCCCGTCTGGGTCGTTATAAAAGCTAGCATAACAGTCGGTTGAATACTGTCTTAACGAATATGTGACAAGATGCGTACTCTGTAGACCAATATTTATTTTTTATTTTTGATTACAGCTTGATTCCACACCGTATTTTTGGTACAGGTATGGAATTTTCAGCATGCATATCGGTAGCCCAAATTTTGCAGGCTGACCATAGACATCAGGTGTGCGTCGGCCGAGGATCGAGCCCCAGACCATATGCATAGTCGGCGAGAGTTCCATCCACTGTGCCACCAACGCACCGACTGTAGAAGATCTAAATTTCCCAGATGATTTATGTCTCATATCACACAAACTTGAAGATATGCAGGAAGAAAACACAGAAGTCGGTAGAAGAAGAAGCGGTGAAGACAGGACTTCAGGTGAACAGAAGTGATGGGGATAGCCAAACAACAACAACAACGAAAATAAACAGCAGTCGCTATCTGTAGAACAGAGAAAATGGGATAAGATCCAAATGTTTAGCATTAATGTCAAGTAAGTGTTTCTACGTGGTACAGAGAATTCGAGTGTCATGTAAACTGATCCAAAGTGACATTAGACTCTCATCAGTAGCTGTTTCATTTTGCTTGATAATGAAGATCAGATGGGCAGTCAAAGGCATACGCAACAAAAGAATCGGGCAGAGAGTGAGCCATCCAACGAATTATCGCCCAATCCATATGTGAAAGAAAACAGAGGTGAACTGGACATGCACTGAAGATACATTTAAGTGATATACAACACTTCAAAGCCTCTAATGGAAGCTAATCGAATGTGACAGGTTCGGCACGAATCCGAGAATGATATGGAGACGATTGTGTAAGGAAGAAACGGTAGCTCAACCGACAGTGTCGGCGCCAGTTGAAAGCAACAGGAGAAAATTGAGAGAATGGGGATGTACTGTGGCAGTTCTGGGTGGTCCACTCTGGATCAAATATAAATAAAATTTTATATAATTTCCCAGAAAGTGTACGAGATGCCAACAAGATGCAATTTATTATGAATTCACAACGACAGAATGAAACGCCTCAACAAAAATAGCTCAACTCACGTTACATAAACACTCTGAGAAATGTTCTCTGATACAAGACGTAGATACATTGAAAATTCTCCATTCTCATTTATATCTCCGTTGAATATATATTCTTTGTATTTTGGTAATGTGAAAATCATTAACACCAATCCCATAGTTGCTGATGACAAAGCCATTAAAACCTTGACGAGAAAATCGACAATTGAAACCATTTTCAATACACATAATGAGAAAACAGAAAAATGCAGACAGTCGAATAAGATTTCAATCTTGTCAAAATGGCCATTTATCAATATTCACTTAGCTGAGATAAAATACTCACACAACGCTTGCAAATTGCAGTGAGCAGAGTATTCAGGGCAGCAGAAGTTCACTGTCTGTCTTCACTACCACTCCGAACTCGAGCTTTGGAATTAAGGATAGACCAACAATCTTCACCACCCTTGTGAGCATTTACCAGTTTCGCTGATCCTGTGGAGTCAGTAACATTGGGCGTACAATTAAGCAGACATCTTTATCACTGGATTTCGGAACATCATCCTTCGTGATTAAGCAAGGGACGAACAAGGTGTATGCATAGATCTTTATTTTAGCTCACCTTGCATATGCTAAACAAAACCTCCATGTCAACATGGCATTTGAAGTTATCTAATGCATTCCGACAAATCTTAGTTCTAACTTACAAGTTCGCCATTTACATACAGCTGAAGTCATTGGAATCCACCTGAACAAGCCACATCTACGTGTTCGCAAGAAACTCCCACAGATACTTTCTTTATCCTGTCCATCATTAACTTGATAAGAGAGATTTGATAATTTCCTCTTCCTCGGATGCATATGGAAAAGTCATTATTGTCTGAACTATCTTTGATTGTAAACTGGTGGATGGTGACTAACAGAAGAATCCCGGATGCACGATTCTCCCTATTAGGGACTCATCACCTCAGTGTACATCATCACTCACCGGGGATGCAGGTACATTTAACGAACGAATCACAAACAGGGCGAAACTCGCACTCTAGACTCTAATGCTAGTCACCATCCACCAATTTACTTCAAGTCAAATAACCAGACATCGTTGAAGTTTCTGTAAAAGGAGATGACATATCAACTGGAGGTAGAGCACTTCCGTCCTATCAATCGACGTGAAAGTTCAAATTAAATCAAGTATCTTTCGTTGTCACTGAAATATTCTCAATAATTTTGTTTGATATTCAATTTAGTATTGAGTATGGATGCATATTATCACTCACATATTCATTTGAACTGTAATTCTACGGATCTTAAAATCCCGATCTCGTGTAAGAACACACTAGTTTTGTCAGTGACAAATACTCTCTACCAGGAGGCGAATGAGAAACGAATATTCTTTGCACAGCTTCCTTTTGCTTTCAAGATTCACTGTGTATTTTCAAAAGGCATTTTATCGTGAACTATCACCATTGTAACAACAGAAGACAAGGGCCAGGCAACAGATCGTTTATTAAGGAAATCAACGCATATTTATATAGTTTCATGTACATTATTATAGATTATTTAAGCAAACAAACACAGTCCTCTGGTTGTTTCTCACTTTCATCTCTTTGTGGCTGTTTCTTGGATGTCAGATCATCTATATGCTAACTGTATCCCCCTACGCAAACTCTTTCTTCTCATTTTTCTCACGACCAATATTGGGGACACAAACACTGACGTAAATTACTGTCTACCAATTTGGCTAACAGCCAGCTATCACCAGGCCATGACCTAGAGAACCCTTGAAAGACAGATCAGCAATAGATACGTGTTTCGTTTTTTTCAGATACACTTCAGTGGTGCACACATATTGTGACACTATAGATTGAAGACAGGATGTTCACAATGTGATGTACACACCCAGTGAACACTCAGTCAGTCACTGATTTCGAACCCACTGACGCTTAGATTCTCACTTTATTGTAATCAAGTTCAAAAATGCATAAATTTCAGTGGTCTCCATAGAAATATATGATTTCAAACAAGAGTTACTTCTCATAAAACTGAGCACAGACGGAATGAGTATCAGTGAAGAACAGCATGGATCACTTTTGTTTCGTTGATCCTCATCAGCTGACGTTTATTTATTACGGATTATAAGTTGTGAGAAGCTGATGAGAACCAACGAGATCAGATGGATCCATGTTATTCACCACCGATGTTCGTTCTTTCTCTCCTCAAATATATTATCGAACATATATATATATATATATATTGTGACCAACTTAATAGTGCTTCCTTGTGTGTCAGGATACTCTGCGGATTTCGGATGAGTCACAGTGCAGTGTTATCCTTTTAATACAAGTAGAAGGCTGTATACCCTAAAGTGACTTCGAAATAAAATCACTTCCCGATTCCGTTTGGTTCATTGTGAGCAAGCTCTGGAACTAGTCAGCCCGTTTCTACTAGAAATTATCCTGTTTATCACATCATAAATTTAGACATTTCATTTCACACTTGTTCAAACTGTCAAAATATTCTAGAAGAAAATGGACAAACAACTCATAAGTAACAGACTTGATTTCTCTGTGAATTCCCCCAATGAGTTTAAGGTAGTTGAAAGGGATGATTGAAATCTGGTGTCATGTAACGAGTTTGTACGGACGACATGAGTAATGCGTCGATAAATATAATTTCAAGTAAAATTCTGATGGGAAATCAACAATATGGAGGGAGGATACACAAAAATGAGTAGAAACTTCGGAAACACCAAGCTTCACAGCATGCGATAATAATCATGTCCTATATCTTCGAAGTGAAGGTTATCAGAAAGATAGAAAATAACGGGGAAGGGATTTGTTTCATAGAAATTTCCCCATCATTTCGTCAATTTATCTGCCGAAGACTTGTACCACACTTATTTCTAACTGTAATGCCGATTCTAACGAAATATCTCGAAATCACTGTTCAGATGATGCGATCAAGTCAAACCAGGTTCATGATGGACCTTAGTGGAGAACTAAAGAGATTTTGAATTTGTCACTCAATATTTTTATTACTACTATCATTAATATAATTATTTTATTCCTCTGCATTTCCAGTGGGATATAAGCCTTCAAGTAACAGCTGTGAAGTTTCAGGACTAGTAGTCTTATTTTACGGGATGGATTTGCCAGCCTGAATCACAACATTCCCACTACACAGGGTCATCTACCGGACTAAACGAGGTATGGAGGGAGTTGGTTGGCGATCGAACCCCAGATCAGTTGCTTTGTCGTCAATGATCTACCACCAAACCACCGACACATCTAGGTCACTTTAGAGAGTCAAATTCACAGTATACGTGGCCTGAATCGACTCAATTTGTAGACATCGCTGGGATTAAGTTTCACTTTGAACTGTGTATGTAACTTGCTAACCACGAATGGAATTCATAAGTTGAGAATTCCGTCCAACGTATTACCAGTTCGCCGATGCAACTAAACATAATTTGGAAGGTTTGAAGTGAATCAGCTCTGTCACCTGAGTCAAATTGTGCACACCACTGATGAATGAGGTCAACCTTAAATGAGCGAAATAACCGTCCGATGCTAAGCCTAATTCAAATTGGCTGGCTGACATGAACTACTGGCTGATGTAAACGGTGTCTTACTACTCAAATAATCAGTCAGTACTATACACAAACATGCATTCACTTAGGAAAGACCCGAGACTCAAAACTGAACATTCCGAGTGAGGGCAGTTAGATACAGTTACACCTGATATCATCCGTTTCGGTGTTTCATTGTAAATATTTAAGAACAAATTGAGAAACAAAGAGTGTTTTTCAAATGACCAAGAATATAAATACGATAACATTTAAGGACAAGTAAATGTCTGAAATCGATCGAAATTATGACACTATTTTGTGTGAGACTTTAAAGGCTCGAAGATCAAAGGCAGCCGACAGATGTCTGTAAAATATATGAATAATTCACAAGAACTATTTATTCTTAATTTTTTAAATTTACGTTTTGATAATGAAACCATCATTGTTGATATGTAAGTCTTTTGAACTTCGGTTACTAATTCGACTAATGCTTTTTGCATGGAAACAGTCTCAAAATCGTTTCATCGTATCTGTTAAACATGGTTTCATAGACAGCATGGTGGTGGCGACTGGCTTACCTAACCAAAACTGCGTACTAAACAAAGTCGGACTGCTTAAAACTTGGGCTACAAAAAGTTTCCATCATTCTGTGCCATGTTTCACAAAACACTGAGACTGAAATAGAGACGCCTACTTGAACACAAACTGGCTGATTATCAGTGTCGCTTTATTGAGCCAACCACATTATACGAAAGCTACTTAATTCTTCAGCTCACACTTCTTAATTGAGAAAACACAACGACGTTTCCCGGAAAGCATATTTATCGTAACAGCGTCTAATTCCAAAAACAACCATGGATATGTCGATTATTCTGTAATCATGATCAATGGAGTAGTGGGCGCATATTATGTAAACAACTTCTGATTCACTTATCTTCACTCTGGACATTGATCATTATGTCGGTATGTTTATTATATGTAATATCTCATGTTCACTTTTTATTCAATCGATGAAAATGTAACCTCTAGTGATACCATAAACTCTCGTGAGTATTTAAAATGTTTCTAGACTGCTTATTCGTCACTTCCACAAGACTTCATGAAGAGCGTAGTCGTGGTTGACAGGGTATCCCAATGCATGACATAATTGTTCCTGAATCATACACTTCAGTCTCAAAATGCACTCCTCAACTTTTCACAGTTGGATTCCAACATATTGTTTTGGATAACGCTAGAGTGAGAATGGAGGAATATCATAATCGATTGGTATTGTGTCACACAACCTACTGTCAAGTAGAAATTTGTCTGAAGACGCTAAATAGAGAGAAGATATCCTGGAACTAACTCGGCTAAATATTCTATACACTATATAAATACTGTCCACAATAACGCTTCTATTACTACATATATCACGTTGATAGATTTGTTAGATTAATAAAGAGAAAGTTACAGCCGTTTCTAATCTCTCCTGTTTATATCTCGTAGGTCGAATTTCTCCCTCCCTACACAAAATAACAATTGTATTGAATCCATTATAAATACGATTTTATTTTGATAAATCACACAGTGGAGTGTTATACAGTAATATTAACTGATGACCACACGTTTCGAGCAGAAACTATTGCTCATAATTATATCAAACCACTCACTCACACAACTTTCTTCCTTCATTTATATACATGTGGGGAATTGACTAGATATTTGAATAAAAATCGATATAACATAACGTACATTCAGAAATAATAATAATATGAATGTTATCAATCAAGTGCAATCAGATGGGAAATAAGACGAGTGTTTTTATAGTCAAAATAAATAACTAACTTGCTAGAATGTTATAATGTATGTGAATTGAACTGAAATAGAATTTTAAGATTATTTATTATCCTCCTCTGATTTGACTGACTGACAGGTGGTAATAATATCTTCCATATCTCTGGTGTTTGCATTGAGTCACTTCTATTGCACATGTCTTGGGAGTAGACTGGATGAACCAGGCGGGATTCAGTAATCAGTCTCTCTCTCCACCTACCTATATTACTTCTTAGAATTTTAACCCTCTCCTACCCACCCTATTGTGTGGTTGTGCGTTAATGCGTGAAGTGCGATTGCTGAGTTTTTTCCTAAAGTACTTATCTTCTCGGGGTCAATCATTCGAACCCTAGCTAAATTCTTACGTCCCGACAATCTGACTACCCGCTACCGACCTACTTGTTTGACCTATGTAGTTGGTAACAAATAACTACCCTTAAAATTCATTAGGAAGACCAGAAAAAACCGAAAGCAAAATAAAAATAATGGTGAAACTAATAATGATTACATAAATAAGGAAGAATAGAAGGCATCTACTGTTATACTTTATATCAGGAGGGGTTATCTGAGACACCCCCCCCCAAGTAGGATTCCTAATATAGCAGGAATCAGAGTGGCATTCAAACCTTCAAACTCACTTAGGCAGAGACAAACTCTGCAGGTTAAAAGACTCTGTCGCTTGACCCAGTTATACAAAATGATATAAATTAAAAAATACCCTACAATGACTGTGAATGAGGTTAACTACATAGGTCAAACAAGTAGGTCGGTAGCGGGTAGTCAGATTGTCGGGACGTAAGAATTTAGCTAGCGTTCGAATGATTGACCCCGAGAAGATAAGTACTTTAGGAAAAAACTCAGCAATCGCACTTCACGCATTAACGCACAACCACACAATAGGGTGGGTAGGAGAGGGTTAAAATTCTAAGAAGTAATATAGGTAGGTGGAGAGAGAGACTGATTACTGAATCCCGCCTGGTTCATCCAGTCTACTCCCAAGACATGTGCAATAGAAGTGACTCAATGCAAACACCAGAGATATGGAAGATATTATTACCACCTGTCAGTCAGTCAAATCAGAGGAGGATAATAAATAATCTTAAAATTCTATTTCAGTTCAATTCACATACATTATAACATTCTAGCAAGTTAGTTATTTATTTTGACTATAAAAACACTCGTCTTATTTCCCATCTGATTGCACTTGATTGATAACATTCATATTATTATTATTTCTGAATGTACGTTATGTTATATCGATTTTTATTCAAATATCTAGTCAATTCCCCACATGTATATAAATGAAGGAAGAAAGTTGTGTGAGTGAGTGGTTTGATATAATTATGAGCAATAGTTTCTGCTCGAAACGTGTGGTCATCAGTTAATATTACTGTATAACACTCCACTGTGTGATTTATCAAAATAAAATATTATTTATAATGGAGCTATACGTTACCACAGTGCCCAAGTTTTATACTTGTATTGTACTGAATAACTAGCGACTGTGTTTTCTCCACTTCCTGAGTTCCGAGAGGAAGTTGAGGCCTCGGACTTCAAAATTTCGTGAATTACGGTAGTTCGCCTCGCGCAAAACATCCCCTCTTCATACTCTTATCTGAACATAGTATAATAAACGAGATTATGTTTAGCAGTCGGTCAGCTTTAAGTCAAATACAGGCATCCTTCATCACTAGTGAGCGCCCTGACACTAAACAACAAACGAACTAAAAGGCAGTCTGTTGAACAGCGTGTATGTGAACATCATCCCGATGACCCCAAGATTACGAGACCAATGCGTTGAACATTTATTCATTGAGACCAGATAAAAACGCTATTTACATTATGAGTTCTCTCGGTGCTGAATGCTTCTTCACAGTCGAGATGAACTCCCAACATCTGATTCACTATAATATATTAATAAAGCCTGTCTGCATAACCGGTTATCACACACATTCACTAACGTAGCGAAGTGTAATAGACAAAAGTGTAGTAGATAAGTTTGATCGAGATAAAGGACAAACTACAGGAGTAATCCTACAACTAATCAATCACCGATGTCGTACAGTTATTTGATACTGGTCTTTTGTGTGCAGAAATAGACAGTAGGAAATATTTACTTGTCCTAAAATGATTCAACTAAAATCGAACGAGTAATTGGTCAATGTCACAGTTTCATGTGATTAAAATTCCACTGTCATTGAGAGACAGTAAGTGCAATAGTAACATACTGTGAACTACATTTTGACACATGTAATCAGAATAATGTGACGGTGTCCAGTATCACCTGCCTGTTAGCAAGTCAAGGTGTTCTAAACATCGAACAGCCATCTCAGTGATTTTGTGGTAAGATCACTGTAGCTTATCCAGCATAATCGATAATTTAGAAAACCCTGGCCAAACTGGCAAGCAAGCTGTCTCCGGTTGCAGATATTACTTATTAGCACATGTCAAATGTGATAGGATGCTTCGAAATCTGAAGGTTGTTTACAAGGTTAGAAGAGGAGTGTGCAATATGCACACACTTCCTCACTTAATAATATCTTGGCGCGTCGGCGGTTCACTTTTCGAGCACTCACTAACCACGTGGGATGTAGAGATCCTATTCTACGCAGACGCACTCCTCGACCTCGTCTACATGATAATAAGTCTGAGAATGAAAAGAGGATAGGAGTGAATCTAGCAAATTCATCCTGTAAAGACAACACCGCCGATACTGAAACAACAAAAAGAGACGCTTTTCATTACACAAGGAACTCACAGAATTGGAAAATGCGCGTAACCCAAAAACTCTATACTCAAAAAATATCTACACTCTCAAAAAATGCCATCAGTCGCACACTTCAGTGTGCATAACATGGTGGACAACACTGAGACCAAATTTAATATTTCAGACGAGTCCGAATGTCCACAACATAAGACTTTAAGTGCTAGGTGCATTTCAACGATCCACTCAGTCATAGACACTCATCGTCAAATCGACATTGAAATTCAGAGATATGCCTAAGATCTCAGATACACATATATAAAATAAATAAAAAAGTATACATAAAATGAACTCACATAATTTCGATGTTGCGTATGATCCACAATCATACCAAAGACGATTCTTGAAATACTTGAACAAGCATTAGCGAATAATGCAGTTATCCCCAACTGATAAGACGTCAAACCGTGTGTAGCCAGTATCGGATTCATATAGACGAACAAAGCCGAGATAACTAGTTTGTTTCGTTTTGTTATTTTCAAAAAACAAATGGCAGACTTACCACAGAATTGGAAAAAGTAATTCATCTTAACTGCAATCAATTGTTTATTGATTTCTTTGCACAGATTCCTCATGCTTTTGTCTTTCGATAATACTGAAATTGATAATAACGATGATAATGATAACAACAACGACTGTTCCCCCTTCTGATCAACTCGTTATTACAGAGAAGACAAACTCAGTCTTTCCAAGAGTGAATAAGCATTGAGGATGGAAGTAACTGCGAAACAAACTGGCCAATCTTTCTGTTCTTATACACTTGAATGCGTCTCACAGAGACAGCCAGTCAATTACAATTTCCAATCTCCTCAAGTGGTTGGCTTATGGCGATTTTGGTATCCGTGCTCAGAGAGAAGCTGTCTGTAATCACATCAGATGTTGTAACGCTCAGCTGTTTTCCAGGTCTTAGTTATATGAACTGTCTGTTCCTACACAGATGAAATTCCGTGTGTTTAGCGTTTGCGATAATCTACTCGAAAACACCTCGCCTAAATGTACACTATACACGTTATTAACTGTGTCAATTGACACACTGTGATTGGTCAGATTTCCCTTATACCGACTGACTGACCTTAATATAATATAAATTAGGCAATCACCACGTCTAGGCTAATATTCTATCGGTTTGAGAAAAAAATACCACCCACTTAAAATGAATATCAAGGTGAATTCATCTGATGGATGATTTCAACCAATCATGACTTTTCACTATTTTAAGGTGTATTTCCTCGTCATCCAATCAACGCATTTGACATTTATATGATATCTCCCTAACCACTTAGCTTAGCTGACGTTATAAATCTAATCTAATGTCTGTAATTGGGATTTACCGCATTTCTTAATGTTAAGAAGCAAAAAGTCGACTCGAATATTCCTTTCGCTTCCGTCTAAAATAATATTTATATTTATTTATATTGCGTAATATGTGTGTCTTGAAGTCAAAAGAAAAAGAAGAAGAGACTATTTGGTGGAAAGGGGAATTTCCTCATTCTTTCTTTTTTAAGATTATTTGATTTATTTTAGTGCAAATGTGGAAATATGCGTGAGGACGGATAGTTGTCTTCATTCAGTTAAATAAATCGTTAAGGGATTTGAAACTTGAAGCGAACTAGATCGATAAATAAATTGTGATTGCGGTGAGAAGCGAGAAGATGGGAATATATTAGGCTGAGGAGAATATTGTATAGGTATTGGGGCTCTGTTGTCAGTTTATATCTCATGTTATACACTCACGGAGATCTGCAAGCGGGAACCTACAAGTTGCGGGAAGAAACCGGGGAAACAGGAATTTAAGTGAACGCAGTGAAGACAGAGGCAACGAAGACAACTAGCCAACAACAACAAGTAGCAATCATTACCATTTGGAGAAATTTGAAGGAGACAATCTATTTCAATCATCTGAGCAGTATCATTTCATGTACAGCCAGCACGGATGAGGATGTCAATATGAGAATCGGAAAAGAAAGACAGATCTTGGTCACTCTTAAATCAATGTTAGTCTTTTGCACTTTCGCCTCCCCCCCCCAGCAAAAAGAACGAAACTCTGATTTGAACACTCAGATGAAGTCAGTTCTTCCATAAAGGTTCAGAAACTCATTACTTCACCAAAAAGCAATTCCAACAGGCCAGAGTTAATTTCAATCAACAATCATCCTTTCGTTTCATAAAAAAAAACAGATCAAATCGCCAGGACGTATTAGTAACAAGAAACTGTGCAGCCAACCAACCAGCGACAACCCCATAACACTATATAAATAAATAAATTTGTGATTGTCGTGAGAAGCGAGAAGGTAGGAATACATTAGGCCAAGGAGAAGATTGTAGAAAATATTTGGCCTCCATCTAATTTAGTTGAACCTCGCCAGATACTAGCTTGCTAGGCTACTAGCTTACTAGTTTTCTCGCCGGTCCCAAGCCCGGGTAAAGAGGGAGGGTTGGGGCGTGGTGCTAGCAACTCCACCCCTGTAAAACAACCAAATCGCTACAGAAACTTCAACGAATAAATATATTAAAAATTCTAAAAACATAAGCAATAGCCTTACTTTTCGCTGGAATCGGGGAAGTGAAATGACGCAGGCTGGTGAAAGCCTTCGGGAAGCCAGTCAGCCGATGTGCCTTCTTTCGATGAAAGCAAAAGTAAGGATGGGTACCTGGAATGTTCGTACAATGTACGAAACTGGAAAGGCTGCCCAGATAGCCGCTGAAATGAGAAGGTACAGAATAGAAGTGTTGGGAATCTGCGAGAGCAGATGGAACGGAACTGGAAGGTGCCAACTACCTACTGGAGAGACAGTAATCTATTCCGGCCACCTAGAGGACAACCATGAGCACACCGAGGGAGTGGCCATCATGATGTCACCAACAGCAACCAAAGCTCTCATGCAGTGGGAACCAATCTCCTCCAGGATAATGACAGCCAGGTTCAACTCAAAAGGAAGGAAAGTTACAGTCATTCAATGTTATGCGCCTACAAACGTCTCAGAACAAGAGAAGAAGGAGGCGTTCTACAGACAACTACAAGCAATAATGGACAACGTCCCAAATGGCGATATCAAAATCCTGATGGGCGACATGAATGCGAAGCTGGGACGAGACAACACAGGAAGAGAACTCACCATGGGTCGTGAGGCCCTCGGCGAAATGAACGACAATGGTGAACTCTTCTCAGACTTCTGCGCCTTCAATGATTTGGTGATTGGTGGCAGTGTGTTCAAACACAAGGATATACACAAGACGACATGGATTTCACCAGATGGAAACACCAAGAACCAAATAGACTTCATCTCAATTTCAAGAAAGTGGAGACGGAGCCTACTGGACACAAGGTCAAGGAGAGGAGCAGATGTGGGTTCAGACCACTATCTAGTACAAGGGACTTTCAAGGTGAAACTAAAAGCCTCGAGGATAGCTGGGGATAGGCCACAATGCAAGTTCAACACTCAATTACTGAAGGACACAACCACAAAAGACACTTCACTGCAACTGTCAGAGCAAAGCAGGAAACACTACGCGACATCACTGAAGAATCATGCGTGGAAGAACATTGGAAGTCTCTGAAGGCGATTCTCAACGAAACGTGTTCAACGGTTCTAGGAAGAAAGAAGAGACAAGACAAGGAATGGCTCTCAACGGACACTTGGAAATTAATAGAAGAGAGGAGAATGGTGAAAGAGAAAATGATTCAATGCAAGGACGGACAGGAGAAGGAGACGCTGAGCTCAACTTACACAGCACTGGACAAAGAAGTGAAGAAGAGTGCTAGGAAGGACAAAAGACGATTCTACGACAATCTAGCTACTGAAGCTGAAAAGGCAGCAGGCAAAAGGGACCTGAGGACACTATATCAGATAACCAAATCTCTATCCGGGAAGAGATCAACACAAGCGAAACCTATAAAAGACAGCCAAGGGAACCCAATTACCAAGGAAGAAAAACAGATTAAACAATGGGCGGATCACTTCAAAGGACTCTTGAACCGACCATCACCTGCAACCCGTCCAGAAATACCAACAACAGCGCGCACACAACTGCAAGTTGACACCAATCCTCCAACGAAAGCTGAAGTCTTGAATGCAATCAAACTTCTGAAAGCTGGAAAAGCAGCCGGACCAGATGGAATACCCCCTGAAGCACTGAAAGCAGACCCAGAGACGACAGCAGACATGCTGACTCCATTATTGCAAAAGGTCTGGAAGGAGGGAAAGGTGCCTACTGACTGGAGGAAAGGTTACCTCGTGAAACTACCAAAGAAGGGCGACTTAGGACTCTGCAAGAACTGGCGAGGAATCATGCTCCTATCGACGCCAAGTAAAATCCTGAGTCGCATCATCCTGGAGAGATTAAAGGACGCACTGGAGACAGAACTCCGACCAGAACAAGCTGGATTCAGGAAAGGCAAATCATGTACTGACCAAATTGCAACTCTACGCATCATCATCGAACAAAGCATGGAATGGCAATCAAACCTCTACCTCAACTTTATAGACTTTGAGAAGGCCTTCGACAGCGTTGACCGTGAAGTAATTTGGAAATTACTCGAGTACTATGGCGTACCCCAAATATTCATCAACCTTATTCAACAGCTGTACGACAACGGCACATGTCAAGTGATCCACAACGGAAAACTCAGCGAGGCGTTTGGAGTAAACACAGGAGTCAGACAAGGGTGCTTACTATCACCAATGATATTCCTAATTGTGGTGGACTGGATTATGCGTCAGACTGTGGGAAACGAGAAGACAGGAATATCCTGGACCGACGTGAAGAACCTAGAAGACCTGGATTTCGCGGATGACTTATGTTTGATGTCACACACAATCGAAGACTTACAAGCGAAAACCGACAAACTGGTCGAAGAAGCAGCGGCGAAGACAGGACTCCAGGTAAACATAGACAAGACGGAGGTTATGAAAATAACCAACCAACAACATCCAACGTCAATCACCATCAACGGGAGGGATTTGAAAGAGGTTACTTCATTCACTTATCTAGGGAGCATTGTCTCAACTACAGGAGGAGCGGACGAGGATGTCAAATCGAGAATCGGGAAGGCGAGAAACACATTCATCAGCCTGAAATCAATCTGGAAATCTTCGTCACTCAGCATCACCAACAAAATTCGGATTTTCAATACAAACGTAAAGTCAGTTCTTCTATACGGATCAGAAACTTGGCGGGTCACAAAGAATATTTCCAAAAGGCTGCAGACCTTTATTAACAACTGTCTTCGCTCAATACTGAAGATCAGATGGCCGGAAAGAATCACCAACAAGGAATTATGGGAACAAACAAAGCAAGAACCAATCGCCCAACAAATATGCAGGAGAAAGTGGAGATGGATCGGACACTCGCTGAGGAGACCGCTGGGTGACATCGCGCGCCAAGCCCTCGAGTGGAACCCGAAAGGGAAGCGGCGTGTGGGACGTCCAAGGGTGACATGGAGGAGATCGTGTGAAGAGGAGTTGAAAGAATATGGATTAACATGGATGCAGGCGAAAAGTATAGCAGAAGACAGAAGAAAATGGAGACGTGCAGTTGAAGCCCTATGTTCCACTAGGAACCCAAGGGAGCAATAATAATAATAATAATTTAGTTGAAAAATGGCATGTTCTTGAATAAAATGTCTAAGACGTGAACGAATGTTTAGCAGCATTCGTTTTTGTTAAAATAAAAATTCTTAAGAATGCTGGCCAGTTTCTCATAGTATTGTATGTATACAACCAATGGTCTATCTACTAATAGGGTCAGGAGCTGGAGTTTGGAACAGTTTTAGATTAAAGTTGAATTAATGTTCGAAATTATTTGTTAGGGTTTATTTGAAAACCACATTACGGATGCACTTTTCCCTAAATCCTAACTTATATCTTCAGGATCATTTATGATTCACTTAGCGCGATGATAACAGTAATCTCAATGTGTTTGTCACTCAGAGCAGCAAAATATCGACAAAACGCCTTTGAAATGGAATGATACCAGAAATTCTTTTGGAAACTTAATGCAAAATCACATCAGGCCATAGAAAATTGTAGCTACCTAAGGAAACCCGGGCGTAGTTGGCCTTTACTCTTCTATCCTATCAAGGAGACAGAAATCAAATGGAGGTAAATTTGTTTACCAATCAATTATATCCTCAAATTCTCATCCACCTGGATCAATATTTCCGAGGCTTCAATAATGTGGATCTTGCCTTGTGAACTATTATTAAGCTCCTAGTGGAATATAAGCCTTCGAAATCACAGCTGCATTCCACCTTGCACTGTGCTATTATCACCTCGCACGATCTGAACTATTCCACTTTCGGACTCCATCTCCAACTCATAATTTCCCATAGGAAAGCTACCTGAAAATTCCATGACAACTGTTACGCTACAGTTTCCTCACAGTATGTCTGATCCATCTCCATATCCTTTAGCACATGTGTCGAAAAATATACTCTTGGTTGGTTGATTGGCTGCACAGTTTCTTGTTACTAATACGTCCTGGCGATTTGATCTGTTTTTTTTATGAAACGAAAGGATGATTGTTGATTGAAATTAACTCTGGCCTGTTGGAATTGCTTTTTGGTGAAGTAATGAGTTTCTGAACCTTTATGGAAGAACTGACTTCATCTGAGTGTTCAAATCAGAGTTTCGTTCTTTTTGCTGGGGGGGGGAGGCGAAAGTGCAAAAGACTAACATTGATTTAAGAGTGACCAAGATCTGTCTTTCTTTTCCGATTCTCATATTGACATCCTCATCCGTGCTGGCTGTACATGAAATGATACTGCTCAGATGATTGAAATAGATTGTCTCCTTCAAATTTCTCCAAATGGTAATGATTGCTACTTGTTGTTGTTGGCTAGTTGTCTTCGTTGCCTCTGTCTTCACTGCGTTCACTTAAATTCCTGTTTCCCCGGTTTCTTCCCGCAACTTGTAGGTTCCCGCTTGCAGATCTCCGTGAGTGTATAACATGAGATATAAACTGACAACAGAGCCCCAATACCTATACAATATTCTCCTCAGCCTAATATATTCCCATCTTCTCGCTTCTCACCGCAATCACAATTTATTTATCGATCTAGTTCGCTTCAAGTTTCAAATCCCTTAACGATTTATTTAACTGAATGAAGACAACTATCCGTCCTCACGCATATTTCCACATTTGCACTAAAATAAATCAAATAATCTTAAAAAAGAAAGAATGAGGAAATTCCACTTTCCACCAAATAGTCTCTTCTTCTTTTTCTTTTGACTTCAAGACACACATATTACGCAATATAAATAAATATAAATATTATTTTAGACGGAAGCGAAAGGAATATTCGAGTCGACTTTTTGCTTCTAAATATTAAGAAATGCGGTAAATCCCAATTACAGACATTAGATTAGATTTATAACGTCAGCTAAGCTAAGTGGTTAGGGAGATATCATATAAATGTCAAATGCGTTGATTGGATGACGAGGAAATACACCTTAAAATAGTGAAAAGTCATGATTGGTTGAAATCATCCATCAGATGAATTCACCTTGATATTCATTTTAAGTGGGTGGTATTTTTTTCTCAAACCGATAGAATATTAGCCTAGACGTGGTGATTGCCTAATTTATATTATATTAAGGTCAGTCAGTCGGTATAAGGGAAATCTGACCAATCACAGTGTGTCAATTGACACAGTTAATAACGTGTATAGTGTACATTTAGGCGAGGTGTTTTCGAGTAGATTATCGCAAACGCTAAACACACGGAATTTCATCTGTGTAGGAACAGACAGTTCATATAACTAAGACCTGGAAAACAGCTGAGCGTTACAACATCTGATGTGATTACAGACAGCTTCTCTCTGAGCACGGATACCAAAATCGCCATAAGCCAACCGCCTGAGGAGATTGGAAATTGTAATTGACTGGCTGTCTCTGTGAGACGCATTCAAGTGTATAAGAACAGAAAGATTGGCCAGTTTGTTTCGCAGTTACTTCCATCCTCAATGCTTATTCACTCCTGGAAAGACTGAGTTTGTCTTCTCTGTAATAACGAGTTGATCAGAAGGGGGAACAGTCGTTGTTGTTATCATTATCATCGTTATTATCAATTTCAGTATTATCGAAAGACAAAAGCATGAGGAATCTGTGCAAAGAAATCAATAAACAATTGATTGCAGTTAAGATGAATTACTTTTTCCAATTCTGTGGTAAGTCTGCCATTTGTTTTTTGAAAATAACAAAACGAAACAAACTAGTTATCTCGGCTTTGTTCGTCTATATGAATCCGATACTGGCTACACACGGTTTGACGTCTTATCAGTTGGGGATAACTGCATTATTCGCTAATGCTTGTTCAAGTATTTCAAGAATCGTCTTTGGTATGATTGTGGATCATACGCAACATCGAAATTATGTGAGTTCATTTTATGTATACTTTTTTATTTATTTTATATATGTGTATCTGAGATCTTAGGCATATCTCTGAATTTCAATGTCGATTTGACGATGAGTGTCTATGACTGAGTGGATCGTTGAAATGCACCTAGCACTTAAAGTCTTATGTTGTGGACATTCGGACTCGTCTGAAATATTAAATTTGGTCTCAGTGTTGTCCACCATGTTATGCACACTGAAGTGTGCGACTGATGGCATTTTTTGAGAGTGTAGATATTTTTTGAGTATAGAGTTTTTGGGTTACGCGCATTTTCCAATTCTGTGAGTTCCTTGTGTAATGAAAAGCGTCTCTTTTTGTTGTTTCAGTATCGGCGGTGTTGTCTTTACAGGATGAATTTGCTAGATTCACTCCTATCCTCTTTTCATTCTCAGACTTATTATCATGTAGACGAGGTCGAGGAGTGCGTCTGCGTAGAATAGGATCTCTACATCCCACGTGGTTAGTGAGTGCTCGAAAAGTGAACCGCCGACGCGCCAAGATATTATTAAGTGAGGAAGTGTGTGCATATTGCACACTCCTCTTCTAACCTTGTAAACAACCTTCAGATTTCGAAGCATCCTATCACATTTGACATGTGCTAATAAGTAATATCTGCAACCGGAGACAGCTTGCTTGCCAGTTTGGCCAGGGTTTTCTAAATTATCGATTATGCTGGATAAGCTACAGTGATCTTACCACAAAATCACTGAGATGGCTGTTCGATGTTTAGAACACCTTGACTTGCTAACAGGCAGGTGATACTGGACACCGTCACATTATTCTGATTACATGTGTCAAAATGTAGTTCACAGTATGTTACTATTGCACTTACTGTCTCTCAATGACAGTGGAATTTTAATCACATGAAACTGTGACATTGACCAATTACTCGTTCGATTTTAGTTGAATCATTTTAGGACAAGTAAATATTTCCTACTGTCTATTTCTGCACACAAAAGACCAGTATCAAATAACTGTACGACATCGGTGATTGATTAGTTGTAGGATTACTCCTGTAGTTTGTCCTTTATCTCGATCAAACTTATCTACTACACTTTTGTCTATTACACTTCGCTACGTTAGTGAATGTGTGTGATAACCGGTTATGCAGACAGGCTTTATTAATATATTATAGTGAATCAGATGTTGGGAGTTCATCTCGACTGTGAAGAAGCATTCAGCACCGAGAGAACTCATAATGTAAATAGCGTTTTTATCTGGTCTCAATGAATAAATGTTCAACGCATTGGTCTCGTAATCTTGGGGTCATCGGGATGATGTTCACATACACGCTGTTCAACAGACTGCCTTTTAGTTCGTTTGTTGTTTAGTGTCAGGGCGCTCACTAGTGATGAAGGATGCCTGTATTTGACTTAAAGCTGACCGACTGCTAAACATAATCTCGTTTATTATACTATGTTCAGATAAGAGTATGAAGAGGGGATGTTTTGCGCGAGGCGAACTACCGTAATTCACGAAATTTTGAAGTCCGAGGCCTCAAATTCCTCTCGGAACTCAGGAAGTGGAGAAAACACAGTCGCTAGTTATTCAGTACAATACAAGTATAAAACTTGGGCACTGTGGTAACGTATAGCTCCATTATAAATAATATTTTATTTTGATAAATCACACAGTGGAGTGTTATACAGTAATATTAACTGATGACCACACGTTTCGAGCAGAAACTATTGCTCATAATTATATCAAACCACTCACTCACACAACTTTCTTCCTTCATTTATATACATGTGGGGAATTGACTAGATATTTGAATAAAAATCGATATAACATAACGTACATTCAGAAATAATAATAATATGAATGTTATCAATCAAGTGCAATCAGATGGGAAATAAGACGAGTGTTTTTATAGTCAAAATAAATAACTAACTTGCTAGAATGTTATAATGTATGTGAATTGAACTGAAATAGAATTTTAAGATTATTTATTATCCTCCTCTGATTTGACTGACAGACTGGTGGTAATAATATCTTCCATATCTCTGGTGTTTGCATTGAGTCACTTCTATTGCACATGTCTTGGGAGTAGACTGGATGAACCAGGCGGGATTCAGTAATCAGTCTCTCTCTCCACCTACCTATATTACTTCTTAGAATTTTAACCCTCTCCTACCCACCCTATTGTGTGGTTGTGCGTTAATGCGTGAAGTGCGATTGCTGAGTTTTTTCCTAAAGTACTTATCTTCTCGGGGTCAATCATTCGAACGCTAGCTAAATTCTTACGTCCCGACAATCTGACTACCCGCTACCGACCTACTTGTTTGACCTATGTAGTTAACCTCATTCACAGTCATTGTAGGGTATTTTGTAATTTATATCATTTTGTATAACTGGGTCAACCGACAGAGTCTTTTAACCTGCAGAGTTTGTCTCTGCCTAAGTGAGTTTGAAGGTTTGAATGCCACTCTGATTCCTGCTATATTAGGAATCCTACTTGGGGGGGGGTGTCTCAGATAACCCCTCCTGATATAAAGTATAACAGTAGATGCCTTCTATTCTTCCTTATTTATGTAATCATTATTAGTTTCACCATTATTTTTATTTTGCTTTCGGTTTTTTCTGGTCTTCCTAATGAATTTTAAGGGTAGTTATTTGTTACCAACTACATAGGTCAAACAAGTAGGTCGGTAGCGGGTAGTCAGATTGTCGGGACGTAAGAATTTAGCTAGGGTTCGAATGATTGACCCCGAGAAGATAAGTACTTTAGGAAAAAACTCAGCAATCGCACTTCACGCATTAACGCACAACCACACAATAGGGTGGGTAGGAGAGGGTTAAAATTCTAAGAAGTAATATAGGTAGGTGGAGAGAGAGACTGATTACTGAATGCCGCCTGGTTCATCCAGTCTACTCCCAAGACATGTGCAATAGAAGTGACTCAATGCAAACACCAGAGATATGGAAGATATTATTACCACCAGTCTGTCAGTCAAATCAGAGGAGGATAATAAATAATCTTAAAATTCTATTTCAGTTCAATTCACATACATTATAACATTCTAGCAAGTTAGTTATTTATTTTGACTATAAAAACACTCGTCTTATTTCCCATCTGATTGCACTTGATTGATAACATTCATATTATTATTATTTCTGAATGTACGTTATGTTATATCGATTTTTATTCAAATATCTAGTCAATTCCCCACATGTATATAAATGAAGGAAGAAAGTTGTGTGAGTGAGTGGTTTGATATAATTATGAGCAATAGTTTCTGCTCGAAACGTGTGGTCATCAGTTAATATTACTGTATAACACTCCACTGTGTGATTTATCAAAATAAAATCGTATTTATAATGGATTCAATACAATTGTTATTTTGTGTAGGGAGGGAGAAATTCGACCTACGAGATATAAACAGGAGAGATTAGAAACGGCTGTAACTTTCTCTTTATTAATCTAACAAATGTATCAACGTGATATATGTAGTAATAGAAGCGTTATTGTGGACAGTATTTATTTAGTGTATAGAATATTTAGCCGAGTTAGTTCCAGGATATCTTCTCTCTATTTAGCGTCTTCAGACAAATTTCTACTTGACAGTAGGTTGTGTGACACAATACCAATCGATTATGATATTCCTCCATTCTCACTCTAGCGTTATCCAAAACAATATGTTGGAATCCAACTGTGAAAAGTTGAGGAGTGCATTTTGAGACTGGAGTGTATGATTCAGGAACAATTATGTCATGCATTGGGATACCCTGTCAACCACGACTACGCTCTTCATGAAGTCTTGTGGAAGTGACGAATAAGCAGTCTAGAAACATTTTAAATACTCACGAGAGTTTATGGTATCACTAGAGGTTACATTTTCATCGATTGAATAAAAAGTGAACATGAGATATTACATATAATAAACATACCGACATAATGATCAATGTCCAGAGTGAAGATAAGTGAATCAGAAGTTGTTTACATAATATGCGCCCACTACTCCATTGATCATGATTACAGAATAATCGACATATCCATGGTTGTTTTTGGAATTAGACGCTGTTACGATAAATATGCTTTCCGGGAAACGTCGTTGTGTTTTCTCAATTAAGAAGTGTGAGCTGAAGAATTAGTAGCTTTCGTATAATGTGGTTGGCTCAATAAAGCGACACTGATAATCAGCCAGTTTGTGTTCAAGTAGGCGTCTCTATTTCAGTCTCAGTGTTTTGTGAAACATGGCACAGAATGATGGAAACTTTTTGTAGCCCAAGTTTTAAGCAGTCCGACTTTGTTTAGTACGCAGTTTTGGTTAGGTAAGCCAGTCGCCACCACCATGCTGTCTATGAAACCATGTTTAACAGATACGATGAAACGATTTTGAGACTGTTTCCATGCAAAAAGCATTAGTCGAATTAGTAACCGAAGTTCAAAAGACTTACATATCAACAATGATGGTTTCATTATCAAAACGTGAATTTAAAAAATTAAGAATAAATAGTTCTTGTGAATTATTCATATATTTTACAGACATCTGTCGGCTGCCTTTGATCTTCGAGCCTTTAAAGTCTCACACAAAATAGTGTCATAATTTCGATCGATTTCAGACATTTACTTGTCCTTAAATGTTATCGTATTTATATTCTTGGTCATTTGAAAAACACTCTTTGTTTCTCAATTTGTTCTTAAATATTTACAATGAAACACCGAAACGGATGATATCAGGTGTAACTGTATCTAACTGCCCTCACTCGGAATGTTCAGTTTTGAGTCTCGGGTCTTTCCTAAGTGAATGCATGTTTGTGTATAGTACTGACTGATTATTTGAGTAGTAAGACACCGTTTACATCAGCCAGTAGTTCATGTCAGCCAGCCAATTTGAATTAGGCTTAGCATCGGACGGTTATTTCGCTCATTTAAGGTTGACCTCATTCATCAGTGGTGTGCACAATTTGACTCAGGTGACAGAGCTGATTCACTTCAAACCTTCCAAATTATGTTTAGTTGCATCGGCGAACTGGTAATACGTTGGACGGAATTCCCAACTTATGAATTCCATTCGTGGTTAGCAAGTTACATACACAGTTCAAAGTGAAACTTAATCCCAGCAATGTCTACAAATTGAGTCGATTCAGGCCACGTATATTGTGAATTTGACTCTCTAAAGTGACCTAGATGTGTCGGTGGTTTGGTGGTAGATCATTGAACGACAAAGCAACTGATCTGGGGTTCGATCGCCAACCAACTCCCTCCATTACCTCGTTTAGTCCGGTAGATGACCCTGTGTAGTGGGAATGTTGTGATTCAGGCTGGCAAATCCATCCCGTAAAATAAGACTACTAGTCCTGAAACTTCACAGCTGTTACTTGAAGGCTTATATCCCACTGGAAATGCAGAGGAATAAAATAATTATATTAATGATAGTAGTAATAAAAATATTGAGTGACAAATTCAAAATCTCTTTAGTTCTCCACTAAGGTCCATCATGAACCTGGTTTGACTTGATCGCATCATCTGAACAGTGATTTCGAGATATTTCGTTAGAATCGGCATTACAGTTAGAAATAAGTGTGGTACAAGTCTTCGGCAGATAAATTGACGAAATGATGGGGAAATTTCTATGAAACAAATCCCTTCCCCGTTATTTTCTATCTTTCTGATAACCTTCACTTCGAAGATATAGGACATGATTATTATCGCAGGCTGTGAAGCTTGGTGTTTCCGAAGTTTCTACTCATTTTTGTGTATCCTCCCTCCATATTGTTGATTTCCCATCAGAATTTTACTTGAAATTATATTTATCGACGCATTACTCATGTCGTCCGTACAAACTCGTTACATGACACCAGATTTCAATCATCCCTTTCAACTACCTTAAACTCATTGGGGGAATTCACAGAGAAATCAAGTCTGTTACTTATGAGTTGTTTGTCCATTTTCTTCTAGAATATTTTGACAGTTTGAACAAGTGTGAAATGAAATGTCTAAATTTATGATGTGATAAACAGGATAATTTCTAGTAGAAACGGGCTGACTAGTTCCAGAGCTTGCTCACAATGAACCAAACGGAATCGGGAAGTGATTTTATTTCGAAGTCACTTTAGGGTATACAGCCTTCTACTTGTATTAAAAGGATAACACTGCACTGTGACTCATCCGAAATCCGCAGAGTATCCTGACACACAAGGAAGCACTATTAAGTTGGTCACAATATATATATATATATATGTTCGATAATATATTTGAGGAGAGAAAGAACGAACATCGGTGGTGAATAACATGGATCCATCTGATCTCGTTGGTTCTCATCAGCTTCTCACAACTTATAATCCGTAATAAATAAACGTCAGCTGATGAGGATCAACGAAACAAAAGTGATCCATGCTGTTCTTCACTGATACTCATTCCGTCTGTGCTCAGTTTTATGAGAAGTAACTCTTGTTTGAAATCATATATTTCTATGGAGACCACTGAAATTTATGCATTTTTGAACTTGATTACAATAAAGTGAGAATCTAAGCGTCAGTGGGTTCGAAATCAGTGACTGACTGAGTGTTCACTGGGTGTGTACATCACATTGTGAACATCCTGTCTTCAATCTATAGTGTCACAATATGTGTGCACCACTGAAGTGTATCTGAAAAAAACGAAACACGTATCTATTGCTGATCTGTCTTTCAAGGGTTCTCTAGGTCATGGCCTGGTGATAGCTGGCTGTTAGCCAAATTGGTAGACAGTAATTTACGTCAGTGTTTGTGTCCCCAATATTGGTCGTGAGAAAAATGAGAAGAAAGAGTTTGCGTAGGGGGATACAGTTAGCATATAGATGATCTGACATCCAAGAAACAGCCACAAAGAGATGAAAGTGAGAAACAACCAGAGGACTGTGTTTGTTTGCTTAAATAATCTATAATAATGTACATGAAACTATATAAATATGCGTTGATTTCCTTAATAAACGATCTGTTGCCTGGCCCTTGTCTTCTGTTGTTACAATGGTGATAGTTCACGATAAAATGCCTTTTGAAAATACACAGTGAATCTTGAAAGCAAAAGGAAGCTGTGCAAAGAATATTCGTTTCTCATTCGCCTCCTGGTAGAGAGTATTTGTCACTGACAAAACTAGTGTGTTCTTACACGAGATCGAGATTTTAAGATCCGCAGAATTACAGTTCAAATGAATATATGAGTGATAATATGCATCCATACTCAATACTAAATTGAATATCAAACAAAATTATTGAGAATATTTCAGTGACAACGAAAGATACTTGATTTAATTTGAACTTTCACGTCGATTGATAGGACGGAAGTGCTCTACCTCCAGTTGATATGTCATCTCCTTTTACAGAAACTTCAACGATGTCTGGTTATTTGACTTGAAGTAAATTGGTGGATGGTGACTAGCATTAGAGTCTAGAGTGCGAGTTTCGCCCTGTTTGTGATTCGTTCGTTAAATGTACCTGCATCCCCGGTGAGTGATGATGTACACTGAGGTGATGAGTCCCTAATAGGGAGAATCGTGCATCCGGGATTCTTCTGTTAGTCACCATCCACCAGTTTACAATCAAAGATAGTTCAGACAATAATGACTTTTCCATATGCATCCGAGGAAGAGGAAATTATCAAATCTCTCTTATCAAGTTAATGATGGACAGGATAAAGAAAGTATCTGTGGGAGTTTCTTGCGAACACGTAGATGTGGCTTGTTCAGGTGGATTCCAATGACTTCAGCTGTATGTAAATGGCGAACTTGTAAGTTAGAACTAAGATTTGTCGGAATGCATTAGATAACTTCAAATGCCATGTTGACATGGAGGTTTTGTTTAGCATATGCAAGGTGAGCTAAAATAAAGATCTATGCATACACCTTGTTCGTCCCTTGCTTAATCACGAAGGATGATGTTCCGAAATCCAGTGATAAAGATGTCTGCTTAATTGTACGCCCAATGTTACTGACTCCACAGGATCAGCGAAACTGGTAAATGCTCACAAGGGTGGTGAAGATTGTTGGTCTATCCTTAATTCCAAAGCTCGAGTTCGGAGTGGTAGTGAAGACAGACAGTGAACTTCTGCTGCCCTGAATACTCTGCTCACTGCAATTTGCAAGCGTTGTGTGAGTATTTTATCTCAGCTAAGTGAATATTGATAAATGGCCATTTTGACAAGATTGAAATCTTATTCGACTGTCTGCATTTTTCTGTTTTCTCATTATGTGTATTGAAAATGGTTTCAATTGTCGATTTTCTCGTCAAGGTTTTAATGGCTTTGTCATCAGCAACTATGGGATTGGTGTTAATGATTTTCACATTACCAAAATACAAAGAATATATATTCAACGGAGATATAAATGAGAATGGAGAATTTTCAATGTATCTACGTCTTGTATCAGAGAACATTTCTCAGAGTGTTTATGTAACGTGAGTTGAGCTATTTTTGTTGAGGCGTTTCATTCTGTCGTTGTGAATTCATAATAAATTGCATCTTGTTGGCATCTCGTACACTTTCTGGGAAATTATATAAAATTTTATTTATATTTGATCCAGAGTGGACCACCCAGAACTGCCACAGTACATCCTATTCCGTTCGATTCTCTCCTGTTGCTTTCAACTGGCGCTGACACTATCGGTTGAGCTACCGTTTCCTCCTTTCACAATCGCCTTCATATCATTCTCGGATCCGTGCCTAATCTGTCACATTCGATTAGCTTCTATTTGAGGCTTTGACGTGCTATATATCACTTAAATGTATCTTCAGAGTCTTCAGGTGGGTAAAGTTCTCTTATGGGTGTTGAAGGGACTCCTATGAACGACCTACGCACATAGCTTGGTAGTTGCACGTGAACTAATATATGCCCATTAGAATGGTCATATGCGGGAATTTCTCATTCACTTTGCTTAGAAGCAGACTGTGGCTGATCGATATCACCCTTAGTATCACCGAGTATACATTTTGAGCTAGGATATGTTTGAGAAATAGGAGCTCGTCTTTTTAGTCTTAGCAGTCAATACTGAGAATTCTTCCGATACGGTGGTCAGTGAAATCGGAAGATGAAATCGACGAGATGTCTTTGCTGAATTCGACTAGACAACTTTTCAATGTTGTCACCCAGTCAATGATTTGCGCTTAATGTTGTTTACTGCACAGTCACTAATTATTGCTTACATTAGAGCGCACACAGGAAGTCAGTCGTCATCCTGATTACATCAGTCATTCAGTCTGTAATTTTAGACCTGAGTGGCGCGTGTTTGATTCTCAGATGCGGAAATGGTTTGCTTGAAGATGCGAACCCACCACAGCGACGATGCTTCTAACCGGTTGCCTCCAACTATACAGCACCAAACAGAATTTAATATACAATTTTTAGAATTCCATCAGTGCTTTCGTGGTTCAATGATAGAACACTTGCCTACCACGCCTCACGTGGTCCACGGTTCGACCACAGGCCGACACATTCTCAAACCTCACCAAGCCGGTGAAGGGGGTAGGTTCAATAAGAGAAGCTCCAGTGTGAATCCGTATCTCCCACTAGTAAGGGAAGGGAGTAGAACTACAGAAAAAAGGATTTTCATTACGAGCCAAAATCCGCTAGAGAGATAACTGAAAACCGGTGGTCACCTAACAGCTGAACACACAGTCACTGATGATTATTAAATGAGTCTCCTTAAGCTGCGGATGGAATTCGTGATCCAACTTGGGTCCACCATGTTAAGATGAAATTGATGTTTGTTGAATGTACAAGTGAGGACTGCACTATATCAGGAGATGACAAAGTTAGAAACCGAGGGTTGTCCAATTCCACCCAACGTTGTTGAATGGCCAACAAAATTAGCTTCGTAACCTAAAGACCCTAGGCTCGTTCCCTAAGGGTGTTGTGGGTGCATACCACTGAAATTCTCAAGGATATCAAACGAAACGCTAGGCTGTCCAATGATCCCTCGTTTTTAATGATCATTACAGCTGATGTTGGTTTATGAAGACAATTTAACAACTGTGATGAATCCAAATTAATTCTAAAAATCTTGTAATCTGGCTGCAGTATCATATTTACAATATATGTAGAATTTACCTCTTGTAAATGAATGTGGATTTGAGAAACGATGACAAAATTGAAGTAACCATTTTAAGTCAGATAGTGAAGAGTTAATTTCCACTTCTGTGAGAATTTTTCCAAAATAAGACTTTGAGTAATTCAATGAAAGTTTATTCTTCTTAATGAATGAATGATTTTTGAAGACAGAGGCTGTTACGTAATCATCTCGCCATATTGATTAACTAAATTGAAAGTAGAGGAAGTTGAACAGTAAATCAGGGTTGATTCAAGAAGCAATTTCGAATGACGTGAACAGAAGTCAACTTGTCAGATTAGAAGTCTGCATGAAGACAAAAGATGAAATGGGCATAAAACGAGGCTGTCTAAAAATCGATTAGAATTACACAAAATACAAAAACGTAATCAGCAATAAAATGTCATAAAATAGAATCAAATTCCTCATTATTGTAGAGGGAGGCCATCGGTAGTTTCTGTCTGAATCAAGGAAGACTAAGACAAGTGATTCAACGAAGAGGCTGATGGCGGTGAATTCATTTCCTTTAGATGACCAGTCGCATTTATATTCTATTTTTTTGACAAAGGAGAATGGTGATGAGAAGGGATGATTTGTCATAACCAAACTTGCTAATATTGATTAATGCATAGGAGAAGGAGGGAATTAGAATTGTCTAATGAGACGAGCAGTTTGATGAATGAACTGTATTAAGGATGAGGATGGACTCATTACCTAAGAATTCGAAAGAGTTGAAAAAGAAAAGAAACCAGGTTGATGGGAAATAATAAGATGACTTTAGCTTGAAAGTAGAATTGGTTGGTGATTTGTCTCTTGCATGTGGAGTTCCACTGTCTCCATCTGAATGACTACAGCTTCAGGTATGCTTTGGAGGTGAAAGCGTATTGTCTTTGGTAGGTTACTCTTCACTTTTTTTGGATAGGGTCTTCAGTGTAGACAAGGCGATGTGTTTCTACCAACATGCAGGACAGTGTTGCTGAACGGTTTTAGACAAGACAGGTATTGACGGACCAATATGCACAAGTTGAATTTCATTCCTCTAACCTGAACCACCCCTATGACATGTAGTAAATTGGAACTCTACTTTCATTCTGTTGCACGATTTCTGAATACATCCACTTTTGTCAGCACTCTAAGTGAGGTGATGACTAATTAAAATATCAAACACTACTGCATCTTTTCTTTGTATGCTGTTTGAAAATTCTTCTTTGTGTCCGTCCAGTATGTACACTTTGATAAGTAAAGATACATTTACGCATATGCAAACAGAGATAACATGAAGAGAAATGGAGTGGATTTGTCGACTTTAGGCTGTCTCAGTGAACCATTCATTTTGTAAATCGCGACTAACCTAACAACTAGATAAGTCCACTAGTAGAAATAAATACAGAACAGATGCTACGGTCAAGGTGTAACATATATGTATATCTACATATATCAGTGTGACGTATTTCTGTAAATATTATCCAAATTTAGTTTTTCTTTCTCATGATATCACACAGTACTGGTTGGTATACACAACTGAAAACCACTCTTGATGACCAGTAGAACATGATAGCCAGTCAAAGTGAAATGATGTTAACTCTCGACTGCCCTTCCATAGTTCTCCTGCAGGGATGATCCATGGTGTACTGGGATCAACTCAGATCAGATGACCGAATTACTTCAACTTTATATTGGAGGTTATTTCCCTCATGTGTTATGAAACCAATGAAAAATCAGGTAGGGAAAGAAGACGGGACATTTATCTTTAAAGTAAAATGGAATCGCAGACTCTTAACTAACATAATGAGTATATTTGAGTTCATTGAAACAATCAGTGGTCTTTACTCCATCAGCGCTTCTAATAGATGTCTGTCTATGCATTTGACCATCCTGACTTCAAATGTATTACCGCATTATTAAAAATTGAGAATATGTACTTATGCTCGTACATCTTCCATTCTTTTGGATATCGAGTGAATGTGGGGCTTCAAGCTTTGAGGTTTAAGTGGTGGCGATGGTGTCGGCTTTTTATCAGCTCCGTGCTCAACGTTTCCCCTTTTTCCAGCCAACTGCTGGCTAGCCAGAGCTTAGGAATGAGTCAGTCGATAGCCAAACATGGCACTTTCTTGTGGTTGACTGGTATCCTACCACGGAATCGCCGGCGCATTTATGTAGTTAGTTAGTTACTTATAACTCACCTACCAAGGGGAGGTGTTTCATGTTCCAAGCTGTCAGTCAAATTAACTGTACAAGTTATCATGACGCTAATCAGTCGCTCAGGCTGAAGTATGTGAAATGAGATTCAGGCTCGAGATTTACCTACTGAGAGTGGAGGACTTTATCCAAACTCAGACAATTTTCTGAGTACATTCTACTTCGCCTAAGTAACACGTCATTAACGATGTGACATATTAACTGAATTGATATACTGGATCATTCCCAGTGACAGGCTGTATGTCCTCTTGTTGGGAAGTGGTCATTGTTATCTTTCTAGTGCTAAGTGTTTCTGATGGAATTCTGTCAGTCAGTTTGCAATGTGCGCACTAAGCCAAGGAGAAAAGGTGTCGATGTGCATTTTCTTTGAATCAATGCGAAATGGTTTTAGGGGACTGAGAAGAAGCTCAGCATTCTAGATTCGTGCTATCTGATACATGTCTACAATCTAGGAGGAATTTATATCCGTGCTGTTTGTGACTTGACCTCAAGTCTCCACCCTCCAGTACCATAGTCAGGGATGCTACTAATGATTTATTCAGGAGAATATTGACCTACACCATGTAAGTTTTTGACGAATTTATGAATTTTTCAGTGGAGAAGTCTCATATTTCATTTATATCTTAATTATATTCGTATATTTCAAGTTAAATCATCACCTCATTAGATTAGACAGTCTATTGTCGTCTATTTTTGGTGTTGAATGATACATTAGTCAAGTTCACAAGTTCTTTATCGATTTATTCTGTCTATTACACATATCCGCATATGTATATATAACGAAATGAAACGATTCATAATAAACTCTGAAATCGGTTTGTACAATTATTATTATTGTTATTATTAATATTATTATTAGAAGGATTGTAGACATTTAACAGATGCATAAACTTTTGACAATAACAATAAAAATGATACACAGGTCGCATTCATATTGACCAGTAACAGTTCCATTGTATGCACCTTAGTATTAAATCATGTAACATAAGTGAAGTAATGTGACACCCACCCACCCATACACACACACAACAAAACGCACACAATACCACACCTTACCGTTGTATAAAATTAACCTAATTCGGACAATAATTTGTCGAGTGAAATTGATCTGACGAGATATATTATTATTGTTACAGGATGGATGACGAGGTGATATCAGTTAGAGAACTAGTGGAAAACCACTACGAAGTCCTGGAAATCTACTTCATCCCATTCGCTTTGGACTCTTCAGTGGTACGCACCCACTGGGAGTTCGAACCTAAGACTTTCTGGTTATGAGGCGATCTCGTAAACCGTTCAGCCACTGGAATCCGATACAATGGTCCATGAATTTCATCTCCTAATTGATGATGCATGTGTATTTAGCGCAATCACCAGTCAGTGACCCCACCGGTTAGGACTACTCACTACTGCTTGTGTGTTTTTTTGACTGATTTCGGCTCATCATCATCAATCCTGTAACCAATCAACTCCCCACAAAGCAACACTTGATAATACATTATGCATCAAGTCAAATGTTACATAGAACGAGAAACTGTATAATTATTGTAAGTAGTGGAAACACTTAATTTCATTCATCACATATATTGAAACCAACCAGATGAACTGAAATCCCCCGACGTCAGATGATGAGTTCGACAAGCGACAAAACCCACGTTATGCAGGTATTCATAGTGACTCAACTTATGTAATTTGATACTCAGTAAGTTGGTTTAAGAGCCTTTAAATTTCTCTTTTTCCCTTCTTTTGGTAAATTTATTATTGTCATCAATAATTTCAGGGTCCCATTTTTTAAAACGCCCAGTATTTTCTGAGGATGGATGGAAGCCACATCCAGACCTAGCTGTTCGTTATGTTTGTGACATGTCAGATTGCTAAGCCTTCGTCCTGAATGAATTCCCATGATCTCAGTGATACTCAATCCCAACGCGTATGCTGACTGATTTATTGTATTGGAGGATCTGTGGTTGTGGCAATGAAGCTGTGTGTTCCTTTGGATATTGAGTTAGTATATGGAAGAGAGTAATTTTCGGTATGTTGTGGTTTCTTGTCTACAACAGAGGCAGAACAATTTTCCTGTTAACCTGGGATCAGGAGATCGATCCTCTATGAACGCAGTGGATTTTCAGTTCACTCAACATTATCTATCCTGTTGTCGACAGACCCAACATATTGCCTCTACTTAGTAGTGTTCAATAGACGAATCAACAAACCCAGTGAACACAGAGGTATGCTTTCCAGCGCTGACCATCCCTATCTCACAAGATACAGTAGGCAGTTTGGGTGTATCCAGAAAGCAGTCAAAAAATCTCTACATTCTCCACCAATTTTCCCTCTCTCATGAAGAAAATTTGTGCAACCACCAGTGGCCTACTACACACACGAACCGCTAGTCATATCCACCCCTGATCATGATCACAGTAGGATAATGCTCTGTGAAAGACACTTGTATCTTCTAGCGACTTTGTTTATTTTCTTGTTTGGCTGTTACTAACGTGTGGCTGGCCACCGACAAACTTGACTGCAGTCTGATACACACATATTGTAGGTGATGCAACAGTCAGCTGGTTGGCCAACCGAATTAACGCTTCTAAGTCAGTGTTATTCATTGTCTATCCTTGTCAGAACTGTAACCCTCCACTTGCGTTTCTTGTTCAGTGACTTTCCTATGACATGTAACAATTCTCTAAAAACTATACCTCAGTGACTACTTATATTTACATATAAGTAGCGCATATTACAGAAATAAAAAAGCGGAGTTTCAACACAACCATCTGAAGTCCCATTGTTCACATCTGTTAACTAACCATATTTACCAATACTCTCCAATACTTCAGGAGGATGAAGTCTGAAGCGGAGAATAAAATTATTCGTGTTAAGAGATATACACGGATGAAATCTCTGCAAACTAACACACACTCGGAAATTCATGTAATGTCCACTTCTGACTGGAATGCCTGAGTGAGAATTCCTGACCAGTATGACCTTTGGAGTCGACTGTGAAGACACAAACTCGTCTGTGGTGATAACTGGTGGTGATAATACGCATGAAGAAGTGTCAGAAGTCAAAATTATGTGCCATTACATTCCATCGCAGTAGTTGACCGGTCGATGTGCACGCCTCATGATTCGTGAGTACTTAGATCGACTGCGAATAGACACATGGGTGAGTGGTGGTCAGTACTGTCCATTACTTACTGGTTTTCGATGGTTTTCTAACTGATATCAGTTCGTGATCGAACCTGAGATAAATTCAACTGCAATCACCAGTGGTGACAAGGTGTATGATTATCGGACCCTTTATTAAGCCACTACCATCTCTCTTCAAACAAGTGGGATAGTGGTCTCGAATGTCTTTAGACTGGATCCGCATCCATCAACCCATATACCTGGCCCCAAAACAACAGGTGAACTGATAAACACACATAGAAATGGCCATACAGCTGAGCTTGTTATTAAGGCTTGTGAAGACCAATGGACCAATGAAGAACACTGTTCTTAGAGTTGGTGAGAATAATTTTCTTCTCGAAGATGATTAAATTCTTTCCCTAAGGATATCGCAGGCCAAGTTTGTTTGTCTCTCTAACTCCTTATAACTTTTCTTCTTCTTTGGAATTCTTACACAATCCCACATTTTCCTTCATCCTCATCAAATTATTCATCTTATCACTTAACTCTAATACACTTATCCAACTCCTTTTATGCAGTGACCAGTACTAAGAACTAAACTTTAGCTATGACAACGGCTCACTTTTGTTACTCCGGTCTTCCGTGATAAGAAGTTGTGTGTGAATTTGATGGTAGAGCGTAAGAGGTAAATGGACTGGCTGAAAAGAGACTCTAGACCGAGATGAATGTCTTGTTTTCGCTAATGTCTGAATGAGGATTATTCATAGATTGACGACCAACAAATGACATCCTTCATTCACACAAGAGCTTATAACTCTTCTGACTTAGTGATAATATATCTTTTAGAAGTCTAGGCAGTGAATTCAAATCACAGTTAAATCCAGGTGGTTATGCCTTCACATATAAGAAGAAAAGCACATCTCGCATTCTTCTACTTGCCATTGTAAAGCGAAAAATTTTGCGAAGACTAGGTGAAAAACAGTTTCGAGATATCTACTGGGAGAGTTAATTTTCTAAAATACACTAATTAATTATGTCCGATGAAAATGAATCGCCTATACTTAATCACTCACCAGTATAAATTCTTTGTTGTTAAGAAAACAGACTGTTTATGAACGCCATGGCACAGACAAATGTTGGACATACTCCTTCTGAATACATCGCGTTGCCCGCCCACATTGCACCCAAGCTCCAAAGATTCTGCTGATGAATCTTCAATCTGAAAGTGATATTGAGACTGGAATTCTCCAAAAATGCCTTGCGATATCTTTGATTAAAACATACTTTACTGCCAGCCTACGAATAACATTCCTACTGCAAAAAATTATTTGGCCATCACATGGAAGACAAATTGTCGCATAGGGCCAAATCAGCATGCATATATCACTTCACTTGCTCCTGTGACACTAACTACATTGGTGTTGCTAAATTTCTGCCTGAAAATCTCAGCTTGCAAAAGGAGAATGGAAGAGTGTCTCCACTTTGATAACGAGACTCCTCGTAAACTCAGGACACTCAGCTCCATTTGAGAAATCCTTCAAAGCTCCCATCTAACCTCTAGAAGGGAATGAAATCAATATATCAGAGCATAGATAAATCATCAGAGATCGGAATTTCAAGCCAACACTACGTATCCAAAAGAAGTACTCCAAACCTTCGTCTCCGCCATGGCCATCAGAAAGAACACAGTCTAGCTTACAACCACGTCGAAAGGAAACACCTTTTATTCTCTGTAACCCTCGGTCGTTTTCCCATATTCTGATGGATATATTTTGCAGTATTAGATCACCTGTTAAATATGTCCTCATTCCAATTTCTCTGTTTTTTATTTTCTCTTATCTGTCAACCTTCATCAGACCACCTCCAACTGACCAATCAGATGTATCTCCCTGTTGGCCAACCACATTAAAAGAATGTAAATTCAATCGATACTCTAATCTAACAAACGATTACTACTATTTGAAAACATCATCTCAGAATAAATTGTCAGCAGTTTATATAACAAATCAATACTATCCAAGTGACCATGTATTACCAGCTGATCAACGAGCAATTCAAACGAATCAAACAATTCAGCTTATTTGTCAAGATATTGAAACATTGAATCAGTCTGGTTGTGCACACATTGTATGCGAACATACACGTAAGTGGTTAAAGGGTGTTTTATATTGATTAGATCAGTACTGATCATTGCATTCTGTGTTGGATTATTTGACTGATACTGACTAACAGTGGAAACTAAAGTGTACGTCTCATCATGTTTAGTACTTATCAGCTGGATATACCTCTGTCGCAGTGACTAGGTGATGTTGTTCCTACTGAGTGGAACGTAGCACCCATCGTTCCAAACATTGAAGTGTTGTCCACTAGTTAGCTATTGGATGACAACAGTTACCACTTGTTGAACAGGTACCAACATTTATTTGTTCAACAACAAGTCTATCTCATGGTTTCATCATAATCGTCCGTACGAGAAACCGGTATATCATCAGAGATCCAGCATTCGATCGAATAAACATTCTTCAACAGGAAATATCAATTAATTTAAACATATACAAGGCACTTGTAGGGGGAAAGATGAGAGAAAATAGACGAAGAATACCTCCAACAGCTAATAACTTGTACACACATTAATAGATGGACAATGACTAATACTTTTCATTGCAGTCATAATGGAATATGGAGATATATGTATCGGTATATTTCCATGGATGGTTCCTCACCGTTCATTCTTTCCATCTGGCCTTTTCTATCAAGCATAATGGACAACTGTTGATGGAAGTCTGTAGGCTATTTTGGAATGGTTTTCTGTGGAGTCAAGTATTTACTGTGAACGGGAGTGTTTGACAGAGTTAAAATTCGGAGTAATAAAACTGTGTAGAGAGAATTATTGACTAAAGCGAAAAGACTCACAGTTGCCTCCGTCAGTTAGAATTATTCATCTTTAGTGTCAGGTATACGACTCACTGAAGTATGAATATTCCGACTTTCATAGAACACTTTGACAAATTATACCACTTACAGCACACCATTTTGTATCATTCCTCCTGTGTATTTTGGCACAGTACGCATACACTCAGTCCACATAACATGAAAGTTTGAATGAATACATAGCGTTGAACATAGAATTGAATTTCCCTTTTGTACTAGTTATTTGGACAAGTAGGTTGTTTACATGTTGTGATTTGGATGTATACAGGGTTTTCAGAGAAAACTACATTGGAAGCTCCCCGACAGGCAACTGTCCACAATTTATTTGGAATAACTCATTCGACCTTCTCAATTAGTCCCAAAGGGGTGACCATCAGGTGAGATACATAAAAAGCAACAGAAATGGATACCCGGAGTTTGGATCACCTTGATTGGGCTGACGAGAACTGTTGGTTGATGTGAGTTCTCTCCAACTACTCTCGCACTGATCAGTTATACATTTCGTGTTAACCACTTCAAAACGTTGAATAATGAACTTTGGTGAAGGCATAAACACACAACTTCTTTAATTCGTGTCCTCCACCTTTTTTCTCAGTGGAACATAGATCTTCAAATTTTGAAGTCTCAGGAGCAATGGCGATGTATTTTCTCGCTTAAATCTACTGGTTAGGACGCTGGGTGAGGTTTATAAGTATATTCTTCGGCCAGCAGTGAAACCATGGCCTCGCTTGCAACTGGTGAGAATGCAACAATTTAATGACTGACGCTTTACAAACATAAGATAAACAAAGCGAAATTGAACAAACAACGGAGGTTTATACTACTGATAGCGATATAAGTAATTGTAAAATACTTATGTCAACTGGTGACGCTGGTGAACTAGATTGAATTGATGCAAACATGGAACACTTTCATTGGACACTAGATAGCAACCAGTGAGATCGGCAAGAAGCCCAGCCTGATACAGGTTTCATATTAGTTGGCACTCACCAGTCTGCAAGGCCTTTCTGCAACCTTGAAGGAACTCATTTGGCTTCCGAGATTTGAGTTTTGGACTAGTTACTAACTAGTATCCAATGCAGCCCTACGGGAGTCATTCGCGATCCTGAATACAGTGGTGAGTCTTGAGCTGCACAGTGGTGGTTGAACTCAGGACATGAGTTCCTTTCTACATTGTTTAAGATACGCCCTACTAACTGGTAAGTGCCAACTAGCACGAATTCTTGGTCGAGTAAGGCTTCTCACCGATTTCCTCCAACCATCTAATATCAACATCTTATAACCCGTGATTACAATAGTTATCGTCCCTTGTAATAGAAAGAGTTGAGGCCGTCAAACACTATTTGAATTCCCCAGGGTTCTTGCATTATATGGATTATGTGCTTAGAGGAATGCTGTAATCATACTAGATGTTATGTTTGTCTCTCTTTACAACTGTTTTATCGATTTTGCATAAATCAGCAATAAATCTCTTGTAAAATTTGCTTAACTGTGCGTAGAAACACTATTGCGATTACTTTCACACCCGTCGTATTTATTTCAATTTAAAAATATTCATATACACCTAATTATTATGTTCACCATTCAACTTTACCCTCATTTAAAACAAAAATTGCAATTAGGTGAAGCACAATGGACAACTGTAGTGTTCGCTTTAATTCTCCGATGCCTTATGAATTCAATGCATGCACCGATTTCAAATCTACTGGATTCAGCCACCTACTCAATCCTTGGAACAAGTAAAGCTCAATATTATGGAAAGTCTAGAGCATTCGGTTCATTCGGTTTTATGATTGGTTCATTGTTAACTGGTTTTGTTGTCCATCATTATACCACGTCGAGCAATCATTATCATATGAATAAAATGTCGCCTACAAAACTGCTGTACTCTACGACGGCGAGTAATTCAGGAGATATTCGTCCAGTGAATCCTAATTATACACCAGCACTTATCATAGCCACAGTATGCCAAGTGATTGGCGTGATTGCCTCGGCTTTCTGTAATTACAGTTATACAAAACCAGTTGAAAAACACTTTACAAGCGCACTGACTACAGCGATACGTTCACCGAGAATGATCCAATGCCTAATGGTTGCTTTTATGTCTGGTCTAATTATATCATTCATCGGAGAGTATAATTATTTAATACTAACTACGATCTATCATGTACCGCATTATTTTCTTGGCTTGCTAACAACTACATCGATTGTCGTCGAGATCCCGACACTGTTGTTTATTTCAGGTCCACTGGTGAAACGCTTCGGTTGCATACCGTGTCAGATAATCTCACAGATTATGTTGACTATCCGATTTTTATGCTATGCATTTTCCAGTAATTATTGGTATTTTCTAATTGGTGAAATTGCCTACGGGATCTATTTCCCTGTATTAATGAATGCTTTATTATCACAAACGGAACAAGTGAGTTTAGAGACAAAAATCAATAAGAATCATGACATTCTAACAAGTTTACAAGCAATTCTAACGAGTACAATGTATGGGATAAGTAATAGTCTAGGTGGACTGTTATGGGGTTTATTGCTACAATATTTTGAAGCCACGTCATTGTTTTATATAGCATTCATATATACATCGATTTGTGCCTTGTTTTTCCCGCTTGTAGCGTACTGTTTAAAGATATTGAAGTGTTAAATGTTTCAATAGATGAAGCTCTTTGTCTCTGTATTTTGAATTGTGTATTTTTCTAATTTTTGCCTTTGGAATCTACTCAGTGTGATACTGTAGTCATTGTATGGTTTTAGTTTGAGAAGTATTTTAAAAATAAAAGTGAGTAAGAGGTTTTTGTGTGTGAAGTTTCTTTTTGTATAACTGATTTCTTCAAGTGCATTCCTGTATATTATGTTGCATAGTCGACTACTAAAAATATATAAGTACCTAATTAGAGACGACGGAGAACAGGTGTAACTCAGGTCCATGATATTCGTCTAGTTGTTTTGTATCCTCCTAGTTGGATAGTTTAACTGAGATTTCATTGTCTCTACATCAGCGCTAACTTCAATATGAAATACGATTTTAGACTTCTTCCGTCCAACGGAGTGGAGGATTTCATCATGAGCTGAGATCAGTTAGAGATTCATTGGAAATTCACCTGGAAGTACTAGATGACTTTTTCATCATAATTTGAGACTCTTCATCAGTGTACAACCACATACAGAGTTCGGACCCAGACCTTTTGCTCACAAGGCGAGCTAGCTCGTAGACTATTAAGCCACTGGGACCTAATCCGATGGCCAGCCCATGGTTTCTAACCCCTACCAATTCACACACGACATAGCGTGACCACTTAGTAATGTCTTCTTCTATGATTAACTGTCGTCACCTTCAACGTGCTGTACCCTACTGGTCATGGTTTCCCGTTAAAATCTCAGGTAACTGCTGAATAGGGCCAAATGCTCATTGGTCTACGAGCTTGCTCACCTTGCAACCAGAGGGTCCTGGGTTTAAACCCTGTTGGTGGCTGCATACCTCTGCAGAGTCCCAAAATTGGATGACAAAACAGCTATCCATTACTTCCTGGAGGTTTTCGAATGGTCCTCTGACCAAAATCAGCTCATGATGAAATCTTCCAACCAATCAAACAGAATCCTTACAAAACCATTATTCGATACTTCTTCTGTCTGTCGAAAGGTGTATGTTCATTCCTTCATATCAAGCCAGATAGACAATTGCGGTACTGATTCGACAGTGAAAATGTACAAACTGTAGACAATGGAAATACTAAGATGGTTAAGGATTCCCCCCACAAGGCTGATACTCAGACGAATCTGAAACCAAGGGACACGCTGACATAGATCAAGTTTATCGTACACTCAATTGAAAGTTCCATGGACTAATAGTCAACTATCAGGTCAATAAAGTAATCAACAGCAACACAATTGAGAAAATTCCCGGGACCAACCAAACACATTCAAGATCATCAAGAAAGATGGTTGATGAACTTACAGAGAAGTCAGTGTCCATGAAGCCGTTGTCTAGGAAGAAATTGACTGCGTTGCAATCAAATCATCCAGCTAAGATAACACAACTACACGAATTATACGTCTAATTAATTAAATGGTTTGGAAAATCAACATTTCAAAATTATATCACTTCAAAGCACCTCTACAAGCGCCTTAGTATGGTCAACTGTAATTTCGATGGAAAGTGTGGTGACAGCTGTCTACTAGCCAAAATTGGTAGACAGCAATTTACGTCAATGTTTATGTCCCAAATCTTGGTCATGAGGAAAAAACAAAAACAAAGAGTAACTCAACAACCTATCACAGCAGACTTAGCGTGGGAGGATACGATTAGCAGATATATACATATCAACGGACTGTCTGTTGGCTTCTTGTGCAGATGCTTCGACAATGTCTGGGCATTTAATTAGTATTGAATTGGTGGATGGTGACTAGCAGTGGAATCTGGGATAAAGCGCATTTCGTCCAGTTTGGGACTCGTCATCTGGATGTACCCGCATGCCCAGTTACTGAGTGATGATGTTCCCACCGAGGCTCGAACCAATTGCCCATAGTTTCAAACGCCTCTGCTAGTCACCATCCACCAATTAAATTCTATTCAAATAACCAGACATCGTCGAAGCATCTGCACAAGAAGCCAACAGACATGTCAACCTGAGACCGAGTACTTCGGGCCAATCAATCGACGCGAAAATCTAAAATCCAATTAAATAATTAACATGACCCGTTGCACAAGAGGTGGCTCTTGTCGCCCAAGTGGTCTAGTGGATAACAATTTGGCGTTTGAAACCATGGGTGATGGGTTTGAGTCTCGGTGGGAACATCATCACTCACTGGGAAATGCAGGTACATCCAGCTGACGAGTCCCAAATGGGACGAAATGCGCATCTTGGATTCCACTGTTAGTCACTATCCACCAATTAAATAAGAATGTACATAAAAGTCTATAGACATCTGTTGATTTTCTCAATAAACAGTCTGTTGCCTGGCCCTTGTCTTCTGTCGTCACAAAAGGACATGATGAGAGGTTAATAGACTACATAGAAAATTTAAATACACTTATTCTTATGTATAAGTTGAATATCGTTCAATGAGATATATTTATTAATATATATGGCCATTAAAATCGATATTAGTATCTGCTTCTCAATTATGTTTCGCAAAATTCTAATTTGAAAAATATCAGAAGAGTACTCAATAAGCTCGATATCAGATTTTTCTTCAAAACGTCGGACACACACACACACTGTAAAGCAACCTCGTCCATGTAAAAGACCAAATCCCTAAAGATTTTCTATCTAATTGTGTCTACAAAATGATATGCTTCCAGTGTGATGCAATATACATCGACAAACATCGCCAGAGATAAATCAAAATCAGAATAAATGAACAGCGTAGAGTAATTGAGTGTTTTTTCGACCACCGAAAAATTCAGTTGAACTAGAAAAGCTTGAAGAAAATCATCAGCCATAGCTCCTCTACACACTAAGCTATAGAATCAGATGACAAAATTGCTTTTCACCATATTGAAATCGTCATCCAGAAATCACAAAGAAAGTCTAGTACCATCAGAAGCACTTCATTTCAAATGGAATCCAAATTGTCTGAGCTGAATAGGAATGATGGACTAAAACAGAATTTGACCTGATTACAGCACCCCCAACCCCATGAAATGACAAAATCAACACGAATGTGATAAACAAATTCATTTTGTAAACAAACACGCTGCTTTTATAATTTTATACACTTATCAAATTCAACAATCTACAACTGGTTTTATTATATTCGCCAACTTGACAACAACGAAGTAAAAATGACCCCATACTGAGGAACGATGATTAAGTTGTTATATATAATGCCAGCTGAGTGGATTTTGTAAATTCTGGTTTAATAATACCACTTTGATAAAGACATTAGCAGCAGCAATAGTGAATAGCGAAACATCAGTAAAAACGACAACAATATCTCTTTGTTCTCCATTCTATTGGGATATACAAGAAAACCTTTATTCTTACATAGTATTGTCGTTTCATTTTATAGATTTCATTAATTGTTAACTATTTTACTCAGACTTTGGATTTGTGTGGATTAAAATAAGTTTTAGTGTAGTGTAGTGTAGTCTTGACAACAGTTAGAGAGAAACTTTGGAAGCCAGTTTATGATACTTCCGCAGTGCGCATTAACGACATCACCAGGGATTGTGTCTAAGGCTTTCATGTCATGATGTGATCGCATTACCATTTAGCCACTAGGTTCGCAACCCAATAACCCAATCAGTTCTAACTTTTGTCAGTATGTTATATGCAGCTACAGTCAACACTGTACCGTTAGACTTTGCATATTGAGCGAAAACAGTATTGATGAAAGTTTGCAGCCTATGGGAAATGTTTATGACGACACAACGACGCCGTGTCTATGAAGCATTTACGAGCAGTGACTTAACATTAATTGTTGAAAATTCACATCTTTTCCCTGTGAACCAGGTGATATGGATCTCCACACTAAGAGCAATGAATGTCTGTTTTTTGGTTTTCCAACGATGCTTTTAACATCTTTGTCTGTGCACACGGACGCTGGCAGATCATGTACATGGTCTGGGATTCGATCCCTGGCCACAGACGCACTCCTTTACCTCGCCAGAAATAAAGCTGGTAAAGAGGAAAGGCTGGCATGAGGCTAGCAACCCCATCCTGTAAAAAACAGAAACTGCAAGCCTCTAGCTTGGAGCCCCCTACGTTCCACTGTGAAAGAATAAAATAAATAAATAAATCTGTGTATATCGTTTCATCACCGACAGGTGTGCCTCATGTAATATTACTAATTTAACGACAGAAGACAAGGGTCAGACGACAGATTGTTTATTGAGAAAATCAACAGATATTTATGTATATTATTCGTTATTGCTGGCAGAGAGGTAACGTCTCCTGATTGGTTGTTTTCCTGCTGATGGTTATTCTGATATATATCTGCTAATCGTATCCGCCCACGCTGTCTTCTGTGATTGGGTGTTGAGTTAGTCTTTGTGTTTTACCTCATGACCAAGATTTAGGACGTAAACATTGACATAAATTACTGCCTACCAATTTTGGCTAGCAGGAAGCTCTCTCCACATTGCTACTGGTCGGTATCTTACATAAAACTGCACTGAATTTCTTCCCTCTAAAGTAGGACCATGCAGTTTAACTTGCCATACTTCATAAAAACACATGCGAAGAAAAAGAAACAGTAGATGTAAATTGTACGGCGGAGAGAACAGTCAGCTAGCGAATTGTGAGTATTGAATGAATATAGGATATTACAAAAAAAAGGGTGAACGCATTTGCATCACCGATAATAACACGATTTTCAGCCATATTACCGACGGCCTCTTCTTACTGATCTTCAAGGATTCCCCCCCCTTCTGTAGCCAGGTTAGTCTGTTATATACTTCCTTACATAACTTAAATCATAATCATAGCCCTTAAATCAAGTGACTAAATATTTCGGTATCTGATTACAATTAACACTTTTCTAACCCCGAACATATATGGCCCACATAACACTGTTCGACAAGTTTCATTATGAATAAAATTTTATTTTGATAAAATCACACAGTGGAGTGTTATACAGTAATATTAACTGATGACCACAGGCTTCGAGCACAAATTATTACTGCTCCTAATCTCATATCAAGGTATTCCTCACACAACCTTCTTGCTTCATTTATATAACATGAGTAAAAATTGATGATTAAACATTTGAATAAAAACCAATATAAGATAATGTACATTCAGGAATAATAACATGAGTGCCACTGATCAAATACAATCAGATGGGAAATAAGACGAGCGTTTTTATAGTCAAATAAATGAATAACTTGTTAGAATATTATGATGTACGTGAATTGAAATAGAATTTCAAGATTATTTATTATCCTCCTCCGATTTGACTGACTGAAAGGTGGTAATAATATCTTCCATATCTCTGGTATTTGCATTGAGTCACTTCTGTTGCGAATGTGTTGGGTTTAAACCTGATGAACAAGGATTCAGTAATCAACCTCTCTCTATCTCAACCTACTTATATTACTTCTTGAAATTTCAACACTCTCCCACCCTATTGTGTGTTAATGCTTGCAGTGCAATTGCTGAGCTTTTTTCTAAATTACTTAACCTCGTGGGGTCAAACATTCTTATGTCCTGTCAGGCAATCTGACTACCCCTGACCTACTAGTTTAACCTATGTAGTGGACCACAACTCAATAATTCCAAGATATTTTGTAAATTATATTATTTTGTCTAATTGGGTGAACCAACAGGGTCCTTTAACTTACACAGCCTGTCCCTGCCTGAGTGAGCTTGTAGGCTCGATTGAGGCCATCTTAATTCATGATTTATTGAAAATCTTACGTAGGGAGGGTCTCAGATGTCCCCTCCTTATAAGTTAGAGCTGTAGATGCCTTATACTCTCTCTTCTTTATGTTATCATTATTGGATCCCCCATTATTTTTATTTTGCTTTCGACCATTTTTGATAATCTTAATGAATTTTATAGGATAATTGGCTATTTAACACCAATGTTTCTCAATCGATCTATTTTATTTCATCACTTAGGTTTTCTGATATATTACTTAGTGTTGTTATTGCTTGGTTTGTTAGACACTTGACTAACCATGCCTTCACAGACAACGAATGGGATGAATTAAAGTCTAAATATCTATTAGCAGAATGAGTTTCTTTTTTTTTAATGCCGCTAGCGTGCAGTTTACCTTCTTCTCTTTATTTTATTTTTCAGTCTAACACCATAGCTAATCCTCTTTCTTCATTTTCTGATTCAAATGTGAATTTTATTCCCTCTACCAGTAAGTTTATATGTAGAAAACAGAAAGATTGAGCGAAGAAATATTTACTTTTCAATTAGATCCTCATCTTTGGGTCTACTCTAATAATATATAGCATTTTAATTACAATACAACATTTAAAATTATTTATCGCATTCCAACTTATCTTAATTTTGCTTTGCGAGTTCGTCTTCTACAGACGGCTGAGGCGATTGGCAGTCATCTGAAGAAGCCAAGCTTATATGTACATAAGAAATTTGTACAGCCACTTTCCCTACCGTCGCCATCGTCACAAGAATGGATAAACAGGACTGCGTCACCCCCCTCCCCCTAAACCTATAAAATTATATTTGTCTAAATTATTTATTTTGACCACTTTATCTTTAATTTACGTGTTATTCTTGTAAAATTAATTTATTCTATCCGTTTCCACCTTTTAAATCTGTATTGATTTTCTTCGTTAACTATTAACCCATTGACACTGTTTAATTATTGTTAACAAACTTATCGCCACTTGATTGGCGAACTGTTGTATTGTAATTAAAATGCTATATACATTAGAGTAGAGCCAAAGATGAGGATCTAATTGAAAAGTGAATATTTCTTCGCTCAATCTTCCTGTTTTCTAAATGTCTAAATGGGGATTTTTTCTTTATTGAAGTTTATATGTGTCAAGAAGCGATAGAGAGATATGTTCTGCTTTTAACACTGAGTGAAAACATCATCCACATATCTCCACCATGTTTTTGGAGTAGAATTAAATGTATTAAGGGTAATATTTTCCAAGCTGTCCACAAGGATATCTGCTAAGATAAGCGATATTGATGACCCATCCCATTGCTACACCTTCTGTCTGTCTATGTATTTTGCCCTGGAATTTAAAGATAGTATAAGTGAGGCATAATTGAATTCCTAAAATAATTTTCTCAATAGGCGGCTCGGTCCTATGACTAAGTTCGGGATCATTAGTTAGTTCTCTTTAATCCTATTTTGATTTTATTCAAATTTCGAATCAATTTTTAGTCATGTATATAAACGAAGCAAGAAAGTTGTGTGCGTAGTGCCTTGATATGATATTATAAGCAGTTATGAATTGTGCTCTAAAGGTGGTCATCAGCTAATATTACTATTTCACATTGTGTAATTTTATCAAAATAAAATTTTATCCATAATGCAGTTATACTCTACCACAGTGCTCAAATTTTATACTTACATGAATTGTTCAATCACGAATTCCATACGAAAAAGTGTTGATCACAAGATTTACTCGCTTGAAGTATATCTGAAAAAAAAGTTAGTGTATACTGCTCAGCAGTCTACTCCGTCCTCCTTTATGGTTGTGAGCGATACATGCCATTGAGAGTGGAAGACATGAAAAGACTGGCTAGCTAGCTGTCTTTGATCATAGGTGCCTGAGTTCTATCTCGCATGTGTGATAAGTGGTATAATAGGGTGAGCAATATTCAAGTTAGGCATCGGTCGAGTAGCTAGGTAAGGAGGGGAAGTCGATCAACGAGGTTGTGAAACTACATCCACTGAGATGATTAGGATATATGTTAACCATCATCTTCCTCAACGGACAGTATTAGCTGACATAGGATGGATCAGGTTGGAAAAGAGCTAGCTAGTGGCGGTCAAACCAAAACATGGCTCAATTGGCCAGGGAAATCCACAACAGTTAGTTTGAGCCAGCCAGCCAATTTGGAAGGTGTAAAACCAATGGCGGCTGGAGACAGCTGGTGGTATGGCTCAAAATCGTCGTTCTCAATGGCTGTCACAGATGCATCCACTCCTTGTGATTTACAATAACCCCAGAGAAATATATTGTTCTTCAATATTACTATTCTTTTTGCCTCATATCTCTGTTTACTGTCTTTGTTGTGCGTTTCTTTTTACTTCCTTCTTCTCTTGCCTTGTGTACTAAATAAAGTGTAGCGACTCGAATTACTGCACATCGATGGAAAGTTCTATGGTGAAAACTGTCAGTCAGTCAGTCGATTAGGTGGATAAAATCATGTCACAGATCTTTCAAGACTATTAACTAAATCTACCCCAACCCTCTTCTTAACCTACTGCTCTCCCCCACTCTCTCATAGACCGATATTAAGAAACACACATTGAAGAGAAGTGAAAGGCATAGAAACATGAAAATAAAATATAAATTATATTATATTTCTAATATCGTGTCAATAAAAAGAATCAGTTGAAGAAGACTCATTTTTTTCGTCTACAAAACACAAAAGACTTCATCACAACAAAAACTAAATGAGATATATTATTTTAATAAAAAGTCTATAAAAAAAGGACAAAACAAAATACAATTTAATTATTCTCACAGCCATTAGCACACACACATACACAAACAGAAATGGATTTAAACACATATGTGCATAGAGTGACTCAAAAAAAACACATACATACACACACACACGCACACATACAGACAATGTACGTCAATCAATAAAAATATGAATAGAAAAAAAGAAAACAAATAAACCTTGTAGGATATGAGCCACAAAACAGACAGTTTGATGTGTGTATGCGTAGGCGGAGTGGGGATTCGAACCCACCCACGTACACATCCACAAAAACCTTGTCATATTATTATTATTTCTGAAAAAAATGTGATTATTTTTTTAGTTTATAAAAGGAAAATCTAAGGAATGAATGTCAAATCAATAGAAATAATAAGGAAATTTTTAAGAAAAAAAAATATATAACAACCGTTAATACGCGCACTTATGCATCAATAAAATTGAATGAATAAATCCATTGATCCATCACGCCATTTTGAATTTGTCTGTAACTCTTGACTGGAACAGCATGGACAACTAGTGAATGCATTACACCAACGTGATGTACATTTAGCACAAAATTTATGCTAGAAAAAAATAAATAGTCGAAAGAATAAAAGAAAACATAGTTTTATACGTAAATCCCATATATTTTTATTGATATCACAAAATGGGTATTTTTGGTATTCCTTTAAGCCCCCCCCCCCAGTGGAATCGGAATATAGGGGTGGGGGAAGGCTTCAGCTAGAGGCTTAAAGTTTCGTTAGCAGTGCTGCCACCTAACCTTCCCTCTTTACCGGTCTTATTATTGACTTAGCAAGGTAAAGGAGGAGTGCGTCTGTGGCCGACGATCGAAACTCGAACCACATGTGTGCGTGCGTGGTCGACGAACATTCTACCGTTGTGACATCGACGACACACAAAGGCAACATCCCCGGCAGGACTGATTTCAAATTAGATTATAAACAACCACTAAACACTAGATTAGCTGTCTCCATAGTTTGTTTGGAACTACTCAGTATTACTCACCCGAAAAGGAAATCGAACTAAACACCTTCAGGTTACGAGACGAGTCCATTGACCATTCAGTTAATGAGAGAACTCAAGGAAAGATGGCATACTAAGGAGGAGGGTGTATAGGAAACCTACAAAAACAGGTTTGAGTTTTGTACCTCTGAAATATAAACGTAACCTTGTAAAGTGCCTGGTTCATAGAGCTAGTTTCATATGTTCAGACGACTACCTCAATGGGGAGCTTAAGACTATTAGAGAATTACTTAGAAAAAAATGGTTATCCAGATAAATTCATTGAGAAAAATATGAATTTAGCACCAAGGAGAGTCAGTATGGCAACAGTTCCGAAAAAAACTAATGTTCATAAAATTGCAGTTCCTCAGTGACATCAGCGAAATAACACAACGCCTGAAGAATGGAGTTAAAAGAGCTTATTATGCAGCAGAGGTACGTTGTCTCTTCAAAACTACCCCTATTCTACGTTCGAGAAATAAGGATAAACTGCCTAAATTTGCCTCCTCCTCTATGTGTATCTACCAGTTTGATTGCAGCTGCAGAGTCAGCCACATTGTGCGTACAATTAGGCAGGTTCATCATCGTATTTCCGAACATCATCCAACATTGTTAAGCAAGGGACAAACAAATCTATTCGTAGCTCCATTTTAGCACACCTTGTAGGTAGTGAGCATAAGGTTGATATTAAAACAGCATTTAAAATTATCTATCGCAATACTACTAATCTTAATTTTGCTCTACAAGTTCGTCTTCTACATACAGCTGAAGCAATAGGAATCCACCTGAAGAAGCCAAACCTGTGTGTTCAGAAGAAATTTGTACAGCCACTTTCCTTACTTTGGCCATCGCTACACGAATGCATCGACCGGACTACTTCGCCCACCCCCGTCGCTCTAAACATTTAAAATTATAATTGTCCAAATTATTTTATTTTTTATTAATTTTGACCACTTCATCTTTAATTACGTGTTATACTTGTCAAATGAATTTATTCTAACCATTTCTACCTTTTAAATCTGTATTAATTTTCTTCGTTAATTATCACCCCATTGACATTTTGACATTGTTTAATTATTGTTAACAAACATATCAGTGCCGCTTGATTGGTAAATTATTGTGTATTGTAATAAAAATGCTATATATATTTGGGTAGAGCCAGAAATGAGGATCTAACTGAAAAGTGAATATTTCTTCGCTCAATCTTTCTGTTTTCCAAATGTCTAAATGGGAATTTTTTTCTACATTAAAATTCAATGGCTCAATATATGCAGCGCAACCACCTACTACTAGTCAATACCTGTTTCTCACAGCCATCTTTGTTGACCAAAAACATACACACAAACACTGGTAACGACTTCTCAGCGAACTCTGGGTTTTCCATTTCAGTAGTCGGTCAGTAGTCAGCATTCGATTAATTTTAAACTGGTCATCTACGATATTTTCTAGTTTTCAACTGTACTTTATTTCCGACAAGAAGAAATGAAGGATATAGGAAGAAGTATATCACTGAAGATGACAGACACAGGGAGACTATAACATCAATCAGAACAAGATAGCGGCTAGTTGGATTTTATATTCTAGGATGCCAACTACATCCTGTTACGAAAGTATCGATCAAGTATACATTTGTGATTAGGAAAAAAAGAGAATGTTCTCGACATGACTAGACAACTCAATAAACATCGTTTGTTTGTTTGTGTTTTAACACTCAGGTGTTTGTCATCCAATCCTATTAGGTTGTAACAACAGAAGACAATGACCAGGCAACAGATCGTTTATTAAGAAATCAACACATATTTATAGATTTTCATGTACATTATTATTATAGATTATTGTTAGCAGACAAACGCAGTCCTCTGATTGGATGTTTCTCTCTGAAAGTTAACCTTGCATCTCTTTGTGTCTGTTTCTTGAATGTCAGATCATCTGTATGTTAACTGTATCCCCCTATCCACAGCCTTTCTTCTCATTTTTCTTACGACCGATATTGGGAACATAAACATTGACGTAAAATTTTTTTTCTTTACGTTCCCCAGTGGAACATAGGGGGCTCCAAGCTAGTGGTTTGAAGTTTCTGTAGCAGTATTTATTTTACAGGATGGGGTTGCTAGCCTCATGCCCAACCTTTCCTCTTTACCACCATTATTTCTAGCGTAGCGAGTAAAGGAGTGCATTGGCCGGGGATCGAACTCCGGACCATGTGCATGGTCGGCGAGCCTCCTAACCGCTATATGCCACGGACGCACTTGACGTAAATTACTGCCCACCAATTTTGACTAACAGCCAACTCTCACCAAAAGGTGATTATTTACAGTCACAAATGATTCAGTAATATTCCGTTCATTTATTATATGAACTCGAGAAAACTTCAGTAAAATATGATATATGTATACATATATAATAGTTTTCAAGTATTGGTTTTGTAGGGATTTCGTTGGATCGCATAGAGGATTTCATCACGAGCTGACATCAGTTAGAGAACCACTGGAAAACCTGGGAGTACTGGATAGCTATCTTTTCGTCCTAGATTGGGACTCTTCAGCGTACGCACGCACACCGACGGGTTCGAACCAGGTTCTCATAACACAGAAGTATTGGTGTTTGATGAATTTGCGTCTTAATGCTAGGTGCTCACAAACTGTAATGATATAAGTATATTCGACTGACATCCTAAAAGTTCAACCATGATGCACGTTCAACTTTTTTAAAGATAACAACTGTCCAGTAAAACAATATTAGAGAGAATGAAACAAAAGTTCTTTCCAAAAAAATGACGTGATCTACACGATTATTATTACATTATTGTCTCCTTTATCTTCTAGATGAACATAAGGCTTGAGCCATGCACGTCTCTATTGAGTTCGGTTCTCCGCCAACGCTTTCATTACCTGCCTCCACATCTACCCACATGCTTTCGTCTCCTCCTCGCATGACATTTGCCTCCATGTCACTTTGACACTGACGACAAGCTCGCCGCTTCACATTCGGTTCCACTCGATCGACGGCCTGGTATGTGATGTCACTCACTTGATGGTTTTCTCAGAGTATGGACAATCTACCTCCATTTATTCCTGATTATTTGTTGCACATTTGGTTCCTGCTGAGTTGGTTCGCTTCCAGAGATCCCTGTTGCTGATCTTTTCTGACCGGCCATCTGATATTGAGCGAAGACAGATGTTGATGGAAGTCTGTAGTTTGTTGGAAGTGCCCTTCGTGACGCGGTGCGGCACAGTGCCAAGTCTCTGATCCGTATTGCATGTAGCACTGAATTCACATTCGAGTTGAAAATTGGTTATTATTTTCATTTTCATGCTTTGTCAATCAGTCCTGTTGATCTCCACAGAAAGTAATCAAAGATTGCCTTGCTCTCCCGATCCTCACTTTGATATCCTCATCAGTTCCGTCCCCCTGTAGTTGAAACGATGCTTCCCAGGTAGGTACGTTGGTAGGTGAAGGAGGTTGCTTCTCTCAGATTTCTCCCATTTATGCTAATTGTTGTCTGTTGCTGTTGGCTAGGAATCTTCAACACCTCTGTCTTCTCTATGTTCATCACCTGAAGTTGTTGGAAATCAGCCACATCTCATCAACACCGAAGTTCAAATCCTCCAAGTTTTTGTATGGATCCATTTTATGCCTGTCTCCTTGTTGCCTGCTGCCTGTCGGTCGCATCATCCAGTCCACCGCCCGTAATCAAGAAAATCATTGCAGATAGTAGCCTCTTTAAATCATTTCTTCTTACTTAAATAACTGAACATAAAATGCAGCACATAGAGAAGAAAAAACACTTGATGTGCATGTGTATGTATGTGTGTATGATATGCTACTCAATGACTGGCAGGTGATAACATACATTATTAAAGAAATATCGATTGATAAACAGAATGGAAATGTTCATGCTTCAGTTTTATATTGACTTATGGATTTATACTACTAATGATTCATTCAAAATTAGAAAAACAAAAAAACATTGATGAAACTGTTTACTGTCATCTGTGGAGATGTATGATTCAATAGCATATATGCGACATTCTGTTTTGAACTAATGTTAGAACAAGACGTATAAGTGAACAATATTGTTGTTTTCAATTAGATCTTCTTCAGGCGAGTTTGCGGATTAAACAATAATAATGTTGTAAATGTTTTGAACGTCGTTAATAACGATGATTATAATGATAACAAAATATTGAAAATAAGGTGTATGCAGATGGCGATAAGAATAACAAAGCTAGTAATATGTGCATAATAAGAAAGGGTGGGAGGGTTTCGATTGGAATTTACCTGGACGAATCAAGGGAGAGTGATGTGCATCCACATGATGTGTGTTTTGTTTATGACAGTCTATTATATTTTGCTGTGTATATGGATCGATATTCCATTATAACTGACAATATGCTTTCGTCTGTCCACTAACTAAATAAACATGTGTAACCTTGTTATCACATGACATTACAACCAATCATGTAAGACGCTGACATATATATTGATATGTATCCACATGATGTGTGTTTTGTTTTGACAGTCTGTTATATTTTGCTGTGTATATGGATCGATATTCCATTATAACTGACAATATGCTTTTGTCTATCCACTAACAAAATAAACATGTGTGACCTTGTTACCACATGACATTACAACCAATCATGGTAAGACGTTATCTTACTGGTTCATGTGTATTGGACATTTTCATATATACTCTTGCTTTATTTTTCTTGTTCACACGTTTCGTACACTCGTACCGTTTCACTCACACTCTTGTGTGACATTTATTTTCCTTGTCTGGAAAATACAAGTATCTTCGTAAACCTGGTGGTCTTCTGATTTCCCTTTTTCCGCGTCAGGACTATCAACTACTCGACGAGTACATAACAGAGAGACAAAGGTAGACCAAACTTCTTTTGTATACCAAGACCCTAGGATTGTTCTCTCGAATTAATTCCCTTAGCTTCGGCTATGTGTAAAAGGCGGGTTCGAATTCCGTTCGAAACGCTGGAAGAAATGCGGCACATAACTTTGAAGGCACTTCTTCTTCTATCCGCATGGTGACCACTACCAATCAAATGTGTCAAAATAGAATTTCTTACAGATTTAATTTGACCTTTTTCGAACCACAAAGGAAGATGCTGATTAATACGTTTGTTAAGCTATCTAGGTGTTCACCGTATATAGCTCTCTCGACGGGAGCAACTATATTTGTAGACACACATAGAAGCGGCACAACATAAACCTTATTATCAATATTTTGTTATCGTTATTAAGGACGTTCAAAACATTTACAATATTATTATTATTTGATCCACAAAATCACCATCATTGGTTCAATATTTTTATATATAAATCTATGTAAATTAGAGTAAAGCCTGAAGAAGATCTAATTGAAAACAACAATATTGTTCACTTATACGTCTTATTCTAATATTAAAAATGGGAATATATAAAGATTTAAACTAATATGTCCAGAGTTTAAATCTAAACTTCAATTACTTCAACTCGAGTGGCTGATGAGTGATATCAGTTGTATGGATTACATTCCAGTGTGCAACAAAGATCAGTAAAATGAAGCAAACGAAAGCAAAAAAGGCATGCACTTACACCGCAAGGTAGAACACCAACAATAGTGTATAGTTCAAGGCACATATAACAAACTTCATTCGATGGTGTATTTGATTCGATTGTATACGGCTGAAAAAAGAACGAGAACAAAACATTACCTAACAAACTCTAAGATATATATATATAAAGTGGAAATGTGAGAAAGAATAACTACCTTACATTGAAAATCTCGTTAGCAAGACACTTTACTTTTACTTTTCGTGAGAAGTCGTGACCAGTAGGGTACAGCTGGTCGGGCGTCGAGCTATGCCGTGAATTAACATAAGTTAGAATTCATGGGCTGGTCATCGGACCGTACGAGCACGCTGGCCCTGTAACCAGAAGATCCTGGGTTCGAACCCTGTCGGTGGGTGCGTACTGATGAAGAATCCCAAAATAGGACGAAACAGCTGTTCAGTACTCCCAGGTGGTTTTCCGATGGTTCTCTAACTGAAGTCAGCTCATGATAAAATCCTGTAACTTTACTAAGAGCATGTATGTATACATTTCTAACGTGACTTAGTAATTTTTTTTACTATTTTGAGTTTCGAGGAAAACATAAGGCTTGAGACTTGAGCTGTAACGTTCACGTAACAGTGGCTTTTTTATTTTTACGGAGTGAAGGTCTTGGCCTCACGTCCAACCTTCTCTCTTTACCGCGTTTAATGCCGGCGCTTAACAAGGTTTAAGAGTGACGTCGACCCAGAACCGAAGCCCATGTGACCTCGTTTTTTATTGATTGATAGATTTCATTTATGTCAGTCAGTGTATGTGCATTGCAGATTCGTCCAGGCACAAAGCCTCTAGAAATTCCTGAGCATTTTTACATTTTCTCAGTCGAAATCGGTACCCCCCGCCCGGTAGTCTGCATGCTTTGATATGGAGGAAGGGGGCGGATATAATGGCTTTGGACAGCCAGTTTATGATCGTAAATGAGAAGGGCGCCCATTCTGCCTGACATGGTATTTTCCTCAGTTGTTACAATTTATCTTGTAGGTGATTTTAGATTAAAGAACACAATATTCAAAGGAGAGACTCGCTTCAACAACGAATTTATTTTCAAGCTGTGCAATCGGATATATATACATACGGTTTTGAAAAAATTTTATCCGGTGTGGGGACTCAATCAAGGGTGTGAATACATGAAATAATAATAATAGTATGAAACGCAAATGAAATGTTTGTGATTGTAATCACAGTTAGGTGTGTCAAGTGGTAAAACAATCAATGTCATATGTAAAATAATTCATACTATGCATAGATGTTTGGAAGGGGTGTACAAATATAAGCTTAGTAAACTAATATAAAACATTACATAACGTGGTGTGAAATTTGATAAGATAGAATTCAATATTGTAAAAAAAATTCTTTTTGAATTTAGAATGACAAGTGGGACAACCGGAAACAATTCAAAGTAAGAATAGTAATAATAATAATAGTAATAATCTTAGTAATGAGGGAAAGGTACATAGATTAACTAAATAAACAAAATACATAAATAAATGTCTATCCCTCTACGGTTAAGGCAGAAGTAGGGATTGTACATACTTCTTTTGTACCACAAAGGTCTGGCTGGCTTAAATTCATGAATGACCAAGGCCTCCACTGTCTTTACAAGTTTGCAACGAAGAAAATGCAGAAAGTTATCATGGATTCGATAGATGATCTTAAAATCGTAGTCAGGGTTGGTAGGGCGACAGCGGTCGATCAAGTGTTTTCTAGAATAGAGCTTCGCACACTCCCTTCACTTCTCCCTTGCAAAACCATGCAGCTGGAATATGTCCCCGTATCCGTGCGGAAAGCGGCGTTCTCTGGCTATGCCCAGTGTACCTTGCTACACAAGAGGAGTAGGTGAACTGTAATCATAAACCCCTTTCCAAAATCCATGCACTTTAAGCATTATTATTTATATGAAATTGATTGACATTTAACTATGATTATAATGACAAATATTTTCATTTCATTTCATACTATTATTATTATTTCATATATTCACACCTTCGACCTAATTCCTTCACCGGATATAATTTCTTGAGTAAAACCATGTATATCCGATTGTAGAGCTTGGTAGTAAATTCGTCGTTGAGAAGAGTCTGTTCTTAATGCTACAATAGGAATTATTAAATTTTAGTTTTGTCTTCTTTCGCGACCGAAAGCTGCTACCTTGACGCGGTGGTCGGGCTTGAACACCGCAATGATCTATTCAAGCTATACTGGCTGAGACTTATGTCTCTTGAGGTCCTACCATGCCAGGCAGGTTGTTTGGATAGCGGTTAAACAAAAAGCAGCTACCCAATCCAACATCATGTCCAATACAAAATCACAAAATTTCATGCCGGATCGGCCGTGGCCCGGATTAACAACGACCGCACTTCCTGCTGCCATGTCACAGGGCAGGAGTGATAAGTATGCTACTGAGGCACACCAAACAAAAGAAAAAAGCCGCATCCCGGGACATCGGGCGGAAACCACAAAACTCTTTCGCTGTTGTGTCAACACACCTATAGAATATTTTTTTGGTTTAGACTGACTTTTCATTCATGATAAGGGAAAAATTTCACACTTTTCAAACTAAATGTATACGCTACATGAAACAGAAATCTTACCTTAGCATGTAGTGTAGAACGGAAAAATTGAAGAGTATCTTTACACGCGTAGAAGACAACACAAATCTAAAAGAAAAAAGAATAGAGAAAGAGAGTGCACACATTTAGATGCTACTTACATGCAGATGATATAGTCCTGCATCGCAGGTGAAGATGCTGACAACATGCAGAGTCTTCTTAACACCTTGATCTGCAATCTACGAATGTTTGGCATACGATTCGCTCCTGTCAAATGTAAAATGACGCTACAGGACTGGACTACGCTAACTCCTAGTTTAGAAATAGGAAGTGAAGTGGTAGAACACGTTGACCGCTTCACTTATTTGGGAAGTACCATCAGCCCCAATGGGTTGATCTCCGGCGAAATCTCAGCACGGATACAGAGGGGTAGTTTTGCATATGCCAGTTTACGTCGTCTCTGGCTTAGTAGACATGATATCCGGCTATACACTAAATGGCGGATGTACTGCTCAGCAGTCCACTCCGTCCTCCTTTATGGCTGGCTGCGAATGAGACCCGACCATTGAGAGTGGGAGACATGAAAGGCCTGGTCAGTTAGCTATCTGTCTTTGATCATAGGTGCCTGCGTTCTATCCCCCGTGTGTGTCAAGTGGGATAATAGGGTGAGCAATATTGAGGTTAGACCTCAGTCGACTTCTAGGTAAGGAGGGGAAGTCTATCAACGAGGTTGTGAAGTTACATCGGTGGAGATGGTTAGGACATGTGTTACGTATGCCTAGTCATCGCCTTCCTCGACCGATGAGCAATGTTAGCTGACATAGGATGGAAATCAGGTTGGAATACGGTTAGCTAGTGGTGGTCAAACCAAAACATGGCTTCATCAGTCAATAAAACCCACAACAGTTGATTTTGAGCCAGTCAGCCACGTAGGAAGGTGTAGACTTCCTGGTTGGGGTCCTCGAGACGGTAAAAGCCCAGTGGTGGCTGCGGACAATTGGTGATATGGCTGAAAATCGTCGTTCTCAGTGAAGGCGCAGATGAATCCACTCCTTGTGACTTGTCATATCCAATGAAACTATATTGTTCTTCGTTATTACTATTCCTTTTGTCTTATATCCCTGTCTACTGTCTCTATTTTGCATTTCTTCTACTTTTTGCTCTTGCTTTGTGTACTAAAAGGTCGTAGTGAGGTGACTTGAACTGCTGCAAATCGGTGCAAAGTTTTATGTCGAAAAAAGACAGACAGACAGATGCTATTTTATTGTATCCAACATATTTATTTTAGTCATCCTGCATTATGGCTTTGCTGCCCTGACAGAGTCAAGTGAACCTAGGTATTACAAAAAAGCATAATAATACACAGCAGAAGCAATCAACAACAGCAGACAGATACGCGAATGTAACTAACTGGGGAGAAATGAATTCTATAATAATAAGTAATTACTTTGCTCGTTCAAGAGTGAGTAAAACAATAGCCTCCTAAGACTTATTCAAACAACCGAATGGATTTAGTTAGATATCAATGATAAAGCAGAGTACTGTAAAAAGAAAAAGACAATCGATTTGTAAACAGACATCAGTGTCTAACAGTGACACATATATCATACTATGAAGTCACTAGGAGTCAAAGACATTTAGCTTTTACGTCAATCACTTTCTAAGAGTATATATTGATTGCATAATAGAGGAAATTATACTGCTGAATAACTGCATACCATATAAGTATAAAACTTGGGCACTGTGGTGGTAGAGTATAACTCCATTATAGGTAAGGTTTTATTTTGATAAATCACACAGCGGAGTGTTATACAGCAATATCAACTGATGATCACGTTCCGAACACAATTTATTACTGTCATAATCATATCAAGTCGCTCACTCATACAACTTTCTTGCTTCATTTATATGCATGAGTTTTTGATGTGGTTGTGTGCTCTGCGCAGGATGGTTAATTTGCGAAGCTTTCATCGCCCTACTAGGCAACATCTTCAGCGCAAATTTTAATTTGAAGTCAAATTGAAGTTTGCGCTGAAGATGTCGCCTAGTAGGGCGATGAAAGCTTCGCAAATTAACCATCCAGTTCAGAAAACACAACCACATCAAAATCATCCACCTGAGCTACAAATCTTCTCTATCATATATACAAGAGTGAAATTGATAATTAGAAATTTGAATCAAAATCAAAATAGGATAATGTACATTCAGAAATAATATAATAATATGAGTGTTATTGATCAATTACAATCAGATGGGAAATAAGACGAGTGTTTTTATAGTCAAAACAAGTAACTTGTTAGAATGTTGTGATGCAAGTAAATCGAAATAGAATTTTAAGATTATTTATTATTCTCCTCTGATTTGACTGACTGGTGGTAATAATATCTTCCACATCTCTGGTATTCACGTGGAGTCACCTCTATTGCGCATGTGTTGGGTGTTCACTCGATGAACAAGAATTCAGTAATTAACCACCTCCTTCTCCACCTACTTATATTACTTTTTAGAATTTTGACCGTCCCATCCACCCATTGTGTGATTGTGTGTTAATGCAATTGCTGAACTTTTTTCTAAATTACCCCGAGAAGTTAAGTAATCTGATTGGTTCCATGAGCGTATGAATGCACATTATTTTATATGGATTTTTATTCAAATATCTAATCATCAATTTCACTCACGTATATAAATGAAGGAAGAAAGTTGTGTGAGTGACTTGATATGATTATGACCAGTAATAACTTGTGTTCGACAGGTGGTCATCAGTTAATGTTACTGTATAACACTACACTGTGTGATTTATCAAAACAAAATCTTAACTACATACTATCTTGCTTAAAAGTAACAGATATTACTTCAATGTAATGCTCGCTCTTATTTACTGCTACCACGACATCAAGTTACATCGAGAAGAGGTTGTTGACACCAATTAACGTGGAGACAGATTGTCAAGTAACGGTGGTGTAGGGAGAGAAGACAAAAGACTTGGTAAGGGAATGTTTATTTGGTATCTCTGTATAGCAAAATTGCATACACCTTATCTGAAAATCGTCATTTGAGCACGGACCTTTCGTGTTGTGCTACTTTTACCCTTCTCCTTCGTATTGTCTTTCTTTGTCTTCCTTTTGTGTCACACTCATGCTTCGCCTCAATTACTGGCGTATTTCTTCTCTTTAACGTTAACTTTATCTCTCCGCTGTTCGATACTTTTATTCCGATAAAGGTGTCTTCATATACTACTGATAAATCTTGTCAGTAGCCTACGTCATAATAGAACTAAAAGATTAGCATTTGCAGAGATGGATTTCAACATACGACTAAACATTTCAGCTGTCGAAAATAATCAGCATTCAAAAAGCTGTTTAGACAAAGAAGCTTTGGGGTTACTTCTAACAGTTCACTACTAACGGTGACTATCGACAAAAATTGAAACAACTTGGACCAATGCATGTTGGACGCTGAGTCAATACAGTCGGTTTACAGTAAGACTAACCTGTAGACGAAGATTTATCTCGATTTTTCAGATATATAATAACATGAACTAATATTCTTCTATGCAGGATTCCATTGCATATGCTTACTTCTCTTGATATCATATTCTCAAGACCTAGATGGTTTTATCGCTGTTCTGGACGTTTTGTTAAATGCCAACTTTATTAAAAAGCGACTTCCTCATAAATGAAATAATTGTTTCTCATGGTGACTATAATAATGACTGTTCAAGTATTGGTTTGTAGGCATTTGGTTGATTGGTTACAGGATTTCATCATAGTTAGAGAACCATTGGGAAACCTGACAGGGAGTACTGGACAGCTGTTTCGTACTAGTTTGGGACTCTTCAGCAGTACGCACCCACCGAAAGGGTTCGAACCCAGGACCTACTGGTTACAAGGCTAACTAGCCCGTAGACCATTAAGCCACTAGGGCCCGATCCAATGGCCAGTCCATGAATTGTAACTTCAGCCAATTCTCGATATAGCGCAACCGCTAGCCCATGATGAAATCCCGTAACCAATCAACCGAATCCCTACAAACCAATAATTGAATATCAATGAGATGCTCACTGACGACTGGCCCTATTCACGTAGGTAGTTACCTGGGGTTCTAGTGAGAAGTCGTGACCAGTAGGGTGCAGCGGGTCGGGTGTGAGGACAAACACTCGCCGAAGACATTTTCTAGCTGTTGCGCTATATCGTGAATTGGCAGAAGTTAGAATTCATGGGCCATTGGATCGGATTTCAGTGGCTCAATGGTCTACGGGCTCGCTAGCCTTGTAACCAGAAGGGCCTGGATTCAAACCCTGTCGGTGGGTGCGTACTGATGAAGAGTCCCAAATTAGGACGAAACAGTTGTCCAGTACTCCCAGGATTTTCAATGGTTCTTTAACCGATTTCAGCTCATGATGAAATCCTATAACCAATAATAATGACTGATTTTTCTTAGAGGTTAAGATATCACCATATTCAACTGGGATATTATTGAATCGTGTTAATCAACATTGAACACAACGTCGCTATAATGATTAATTAGAATACAGACGAACATGGGGTTAATAAAACTTCTTAAATTAACGAATCACAGTCAGAAATATACTACAACAAGTGGGGCTACCTTTTCTCCTCTGAACTGTCTTGAAAGTTCACTTCTTTTACTCAAGTTGGAACCAGCGATACTGTTTTGTAAATGGTAATGAAAGCTATGCAATGAAACCATCTAGTTGAAACAATGCGACAACAGAAACATTTGCCAGATTTACAAAACAATGTTTATTTCCATGTTTGTCTGTGAAGTATTGGAGGAGGGGGGATGGTCAATTACTAAAACTTATTCTTAAATAGTTTAACAGATGAAAAGTGACTTATTTTTACTGAGTGTTGAAATAAAATATCCATCTGAAGCTTCTACAAATGACTAGCATCTAACAATTAAGGGCAGAAAGTACCACTCTCAACTTACAGTTGTTACCGTTTTATATATGCACAGTTATAGAAAAACGAACATTCAGGGTAAAGAAAAAATGAGATAGTAAAAGCTTACGAAATGAGATTAAACAACAACTTTAAGCCCCGAACTAACTACCAATCACTCAGTATGAAAAATAAGATCCGGATTTTCAACTCCAATGTGAAGTCAGTGCTACATACTATACGAATCAGAGACTTGGCGCCGCGTCATAAAGAGCATCTCAAACAAACTCCAGACCTTCATCAACAGCTGTCCTCGCTCAATACTCAAGATCAGATGGCCAGCCAGAAAAGATCAGCAACAGGGATCTCTGGAAACGAACCAACCCAGCAGGAACCTATTGTGCAACAAATAAGTAGGAAGAAATGGAGGTGGATTGGTGGTCATACTCTGAGGAAACCATCAAGTGACAAGCCCTCGAGTGGAACTCGAAAGGGAAGCGGCGAGTCGGTCATCCAAGGGTGACTTGAAGGAGGTCATGTGAAGAGGAGACGAAAGCATGTGGACAGACCTGGAGCCAGATGAAAAATTTATCAGAAAACCGAATGCAATGGAGACGTGCAGCTAAAGCCTATGTTCCTCTAGGAATTAAAGGCAATAATAATAAATAATAACTACCAATTAGCAAATAACCTTGAATGGTCCAGCGAAGGTTCTATTCCGCTTGATTCTAGTCAAATGCCTGCTCTGACGCAGTTGTGCTTGCAGTTTAGTGAGGATAAGGTTTTTCCAATATTGCTTGGATGTGGGGTTTGCTTCGGAAGGAAAGGATTTTTTCATGTGGAGGTATCATGAGTATAAAATGCTTCAGCAGGTCGATTAATGGATATGTTCATCGTTGTGCTATTTGTTTGAGACCAGTTAGTGTCATGGAAGGTAAGCCGATGATTCTAATGTTTCGTAGGAAAATGTTTTGCCAGGTCTCACCTGTCCTTAACCCAGATTTTGTATATTTGTAATTACTGGGTTTTAAAACAGCCTATGAGATGTGCAGCTGCTGAAATTGTAAATAGCTTTGTATCAACAGTTCAGTGGTACCAGTGTGGTGAGAGCAGGCCGTGAGAAAATATGAGCAAGGCTGATTCAACAACCAATCACAGCAAAGTTAACGTGGCAAAATATGATTCGCAGATAGAGAACTCTATTTGTCGAGGAATCCCGAAACAACCAATCAGAAGCCTGCGTTTGTCTGCCTAACTTCTGATAAACAACCAATCAGATAACTGCGCTTGTCTACTTGCATAAGCTATAATAATGTATGTGAAATATGTATAAATACGTGTTGATTTTCATAATAAAACGATCTGTTGCCTGGCCCTTGTCTTCTGTTGTTACACCAGCACTTCAGAGACATCGCGTCATGAAAAATGGAGAGACTTATTTCGTTATTAGGAGGTGAAGATGTCATCGTACACTTGGATGAAACTGTCTTATTGAAGAAAAATACAATCGTGGTCGTGAGCGGGCAAACAATGTTTGGGTGATCGGCTTATATAACACCTGTCTACAGAAAGAATACGTCGAGAGAAGAGTAGATAGAAAGTCAACTACCGTATTACCTATTATCACTCGACACATGAAACAGGGATCTATAGTACATATCGATGAATGGAAAGTTTATAACTCCCTGTCATCTCTTGGATATATTCACCACAGAGTCAACCATTCTAAAGATTTTGTGGATCCCATTATAGGGAAACACGCCAGTTCCATAGAAGGCTTTTGGGGAAGGTTGAAAAACAGGATTAGTGCCATTAATGGATCTCAAAAGGATGTCATTTAGATGAACATATGTACAGAATGTGGTGTAACTTATCAATTGATACTCATTTGCTAAACTGAGACATGCTTGTATCAAATGTCAAAAAAAGTACCCTATGTAACAGTTTTATGCATTTTTTTCATCAATATATGTTTTCCATAACCAAAAATGCCTCTTTTATGTGATCGGTTACATGAAGGTCAGTCGCTGATTGCCAGTTAGTGATGTTTAAAGTTAAACTTTACCCATTGGAGATTATGAGTAAACCGAACCTTAAATATTGATATGATCTCATACAATACACTGAAATATGATATTCATATAACACGAATCAACTGTAATATTAAAACAATACATACTTTTAGAATACAATACAAGCAGCAGACAAAGATTCTTCCAGCTAATACGCCTTGATATTTCCAATTAAATTCCATTAAAAAATATATCCAAAGTATTCCAGAGGGTATATGTCTCAAAAGTAGAAATATATGCTCTAGCATACTTAAAAATGACCCCTGAGAATAAAAACAAAAAGAAAAAATTTCCATGTAAATGATTTATAGCACGTGTATGAAAGTTTGGCGTGCAATTAAAATGAAAACTTAAAAAGGAAAGCTAAAACGCATGCAAGTGAAATCAATAAACGCAAACTGTAAATTACATGGATATTGGAAGTGTACTGTTTTTGATGTGGTTTTGTTCTCTGAGCTGGATGGTTAGTTTGCGAAGCTTTCATCACCTTACTGGGTGACATCTTCAGCGCATACTTCAAATCGAAGTATGCGCTGAAGATGTCACCCAGTAAGGTGATGAAAGCTTCGCAAACTAACCATCCAGCTCAGAGAACAAAACCACATCAAAATCATCCACCTGAGCTACAAATCTTCTCTATCATATCTGAAGTGTACTGTGGTAAACAGGGCTCAATTAGTCATGAACTGAACACGTTCTAGAGCCAAGACATAACATTTAACAGTGGACTACAAATATACTTCAGCAGATGTTTGCGAAACGTTTCTACCAACGTAAAAAAACATGTTGGCTGTAACAAACATAACTACCTTTTGATGATATTAGGTGGTTGGAGGCAATCGACCACAGGAAGCCTTGGCTGACCTAGGTGGCACTCACCAGTCAGCAAGACGTATCTGCTACCTTGAAGGAAGGAACTCATGCCCCTTATGAAATTCGAACCACGCCACACAGTGCCGCCTGCAGTCAGAGACTTTACCACTGAGCAGCTATTCGAGCTTGCGATTGACCTCCTGTAGGACTGTAATGGATACTTTGACTGGACACTAGTGTGATGTGTCTAGTCCTTTCTTTGGTGCAGACTGAATTCTATCAGTCAGGTTTACAATGTGACCAACAGTGACTGCAGCACTGGGTGACGCGGGTTCGAATCTCAGAAGAGACATGAGTTCCTTCAATGTTGCAAATACGCCTTGCTGACTGATGAGTGCCAACTAGCACGAAACCTAGGTCGAACAAGGCTCCCCAACGACTGTCTCCGACCATCCAATATCCCCAAATCAATGTACACCGTGATGACGAGCCACCTAGGATGGTGGCCACATTGCAAACCTGACTGACAGAATTCAGTCTGCACCAAATAAAGGACTAGACACATCACACTAGTTACTAGTCTCCAATCAAAATAACTACCTTTTATTTCCGAAAGACACATTTGTACATACATCGTCATACATATATACACTTCGAATAATGACGACTATGGAAGTAAAGAACATTTTCATCTGTATTAATTACGTAAATCTAGTAAAACAGTGATTGTTGTTGAAATGTCAGAGGTTTATCAAACCTCATAAAAAATGGGTAACTAGTTGTTAATTCCAGAAGAATTTAAAAAGCGACATGATTACGCCACTGATCTGCTGATAAATCCTCCCATAAAGTCACAGAATCCACCTCCCGGTATGACTTTGGAAACGAAACACTATGTTCGGCAAAATTAGTTTCTACCAAGTAGACTAATGTCGCCAATGCATGTAACAGGCTGAAATGTGTCCTAACTGTGGTGTTATATAAGCTGAAAGACTTATCCAAACTTCCCTGAATACATCCAAGTACTTTGATGTTCATACTTACAGTGAATTTTCACTGAAATAGCAAACATTAGAGCAAACAAGGCCTACAGTTTTTTGCTTAACATGATCACATGAGAACTTCTAACTTGAAGAATAAGCGTTGTGCACCACAACAACTAATTATGTCATGAATTTGCATGCGATTTGATATGGATGCAACTGCACTGAAACAGAACTACAAATATTATAGTACATAGTTCTGGTGATAAATCCCTTCCGTAGCTAACAATATAGACGTCAACTAAATTTGAAACTGAAACCCTCCGTCTGAAGACAGTATGAGTAGTGAAGACAATATGGCAACTGTCAAGATCAAAAACACCCCCGATGCATGTGGCTGTGATGAAGTTAACATAACGTGGTATAGAACATCTCTTACTACTTTTATATTGAACTGCGAAAGACTCATGAATACTTTGTTAAATTAAATGTTGGCTAGAATCAACTTTTTTATACGCGCAAATGTTTGCAGCCCTTAAAAAAGTGCTCTATTTACTACAATTACGTCATGAGCACTCCTAAGAAAATGTGAAACGGTGCTGGTGACCACGTTACAGCATAGTGATAATCTGTCTACGAAAGTAGTCAATCTCAGGTTATACACATGAACTCAAAGATTCTAAAATGGTCTGCAAATGTGTTTCACTTAACTATAATAAGTGAAATGAGATCCAGTTGTCTTTCGGATCAGGCTTTTGATAAAAAAAAATAGAGGTTGATTCCCTAGATATGTTAGTTTTATAGTTCGGGACCTTGGTCCTAATAAAAATAATGATACAGAAAAAGCAGTAAGAACTCCGAAGATATGATATGACTTCTCATCTTAGTCAGAAACAAGGTATACTAACTGGAACCTATTTGCGAAATGCAATCATCGGGATAACTGAAGTAGCAAAGTCAGAAATAAAAATATCCTGAGAATCTTTAAAAAATTGTACGCAAAAAATAAATCAAAGATACAATTTACTAACCATTGTGTAGCAATCGACTGTTCTAGACAAGAAAAACATAGCAGTGCTTTTGATAAAAACAAGCAGTAATTTCATTGAGCAGTCACATATTAATGCACACCAAAGAACTAGTGATAAGCTTGAAAATGAACTGGAGGTTTGAGCTAAAAGACTAAATACCACAATTAAGTATAGGTAAGCTTACATGTCATATAAACCCTGATGCCATAAAGAGTATTGTACTAGTATGACGTGTGAAAGTGAAATCAGTGAGTAAAGAAAGCATATCTTGCGATATGAAGAATCAGAGAAACCTAAAACAATGATGAAAATGTTAATTCTGGTCTCAGCCAACATGCGCTCGAAGAAACTTTGGAGCATTCTAAGCACAGAAGGCTATATCAAGAAGAAATCTGATATTTCCTTAAGAGCATAGACTGCCACAAAGACCTCGAGTGGTGGCTGAGAGATTTTGGAATTACTTCTTTGCGTTTGAGATCCCATGAAAATGACTGAAATGCACACCCAAAAGGCTAGAACAACATCTAAGCACAACAATTACACAAAATGATTTCCTTTACTTTTAAAATATTCCCCATACAACTTTATGGTTATTATCAGGAAAAAACATAGATGACAGATATTCCGGAACGAAAGTAATGAACTTTTCTTCTCCGGTTTCCGTTCCGCGGAACAATCATGAGAAGTTGAGACAGAAGTTAAAACGTCAGGCATTTCACATCCCCGTGTTTTAAAACCTCAAACAAAGCACCTCCGTAGAAGACAAGCTTGTATATTGCGCCAACATCCAATATCGTTTTTATGTGTCTAGTAAGTTGATTACTGTGTTCTCACTTTCTGGCTCTAAGATAAAAGTTCCTGATCGTAGGTGAACTTCCGTGGAACGCGTCTCGCTACTCGACCGCCATGGCTTTGGTTGATTCCAAGGGGAGTAGTGAGAGGTCTGGTTATAAGTGGTTTGCAGTATCGTGCTGTTGTTGTAACTGCAGTTGACCCTTTTAACCATTAGTTGTCCACTGTGATCGAATAGAGAGATAATTATGACAGATGCAATAAGTGCATATTATAAGAACTAAAAAAGATAAACATAAAAGCTGATACATAAATTTATAAATTAAGGATAATTATAAATAATAGAGACATAAAAATACACAAGTTAAGTAAATTAATGGGTAGAGTAGTCAGAAGAGTGATACAAGACAGAGTGAGTAGTAGTATGAGACTAGTTGACATGATGCCCAGTGTTCTCTGGTGGAATGCGTAACAATATTTGTTGAGCTGGCCAGACAGTTCCCTACAAATTAATGGATGATCCCGACTGAACATTTTAGCTTTATAAACCCTATATTTACACTGGTAAGCATATTAATTTTTTCTGCACTTGCTATATAATTATATTTATATGTATATTCACATAATACTCATGTCTTCACCCACCCGTTTACTTGCTGCACCTGAGGCTGACGAAGTGCAAGATTCAACAATCAATGCAATAGTCGACCTGCGTCTACCTCCATCTGGTTTCACTGAGCCTCGGATTTGGTTCACCATCACTGAGCCCGTTTTTGCTGCTCGAGGTATTAAGTCGCAAATTGCAAAGTATGGATGTATCTTAGCTGCGTTTCTCACAGAGGTTCTCGAGGACATTAGTGATTTAATCGACAGCACCCCTGAAGACCACCAATATGATCGACTCAAAGCAGTTCTGATCCAAAGAAGAAGTGTTTCTGGTGAGAAACGGATCCAACAGTTACTCAGTGCATGTCAGTTAGGCTCACGGACGTCATCTCAGCTTGTTAAGCAAATGCATCAACAGCTTAATCCACACAAGGTTCATGAAGGGGTCTTACGACATATGTGGTTGTAGCTACAACCACGGCATATGCAATAGGTTTTGACTGTCTCCTCCAAATCCATTGACCAAGATCCACTAAGTGACCCTGCAGACAAAATTCTAGATGTAATGCCTGACACATGTATCTACGACACATCAACAAGTCATGGGCTACCAGTTCAGAGTGGGTCTGTTGCGGGCACACCTATATTATCAGCGATTTCAGCATAGGCTAATAAGATGTGAAAGCTAGAAACTGAAGTTTCAAGCTTACGTGTACGAGGTAGTAGATCACCGTTCAGGTCAAGGCAACTATGACGGCCTCTCTCAAGAAAGAGGACCACAACATCTCCTAATATTCAAAATATCTGCCGGTGCCATGGAGGGTTTGGAAACAGAGGTATTCGGCCTTTTCAAAACTATGAACTTTCAGCAGTAGCGACTCGGCTCAGAGAAAATTTCTAGCCAGACAGTGATGGCGATGGCCGTTACTGGCAGTCATTCAAGTTGCCTTTTCTACGTGAGGGAAAAAACTACAGGCACATTATTCCTGGTAGACACAGGGGCCGAAGTTAGTGTAGTACCTCCTTCACTCTCCAGGCGGTCTTCTAGCACAGCTGCAAGACTTTCACTTTGCGCGGTTAACCAAACTAGCATACGGACTTGTGGTGAACAGACACTTATTTTGGATCTTGGTTTACGTCGTTGATTGACATGGATATTCACAATAGCTGACGTTCGCCATGCCATACTGGGTGCTGATTTTTTAAGTAATTTTAATCTTCTGGTTGATGTCAACGAGAAAAAACTAATTGACAACTGCACCCAACTTCAAATCCATTTATGACATTTGCATCGAAAAGCCAGATGATTGCATGTTTTCTGCATTACTGCAGCTTCTCCTTTAAATTCTAAAGCCATCTTACAGTATCGAAGATGTCCCTCATTCTGTCACACATAAAATCGTCACAACTCGTCAACCCTTCAGGGCACTTCCTCGTCAGCTTCCACCCAATAAGCAGCAGCTAAAGGTGAATTCAGAAACACGATGCAAGTGGGTATCATTCAACCATTCAATAGTCCTTGGTCCTCACCTTTACATATGTTACCAAAGGCTGTGCATGACTGGCGACCGTGTGTGAGTTACCGATAATTGAACGACGCCACTGTCCCACATCGTTACCCCGTTCCCCACTTGCATGATTTCTCTCTGACACCGAAGGGTAAGACTATTTTCTCCAAAGTGGATTTAGCCACAGCTTATCACCAGATACCAGTCACTCCTGAGGACATCGAGAAGACAGTCATTATAACATCTTTGGCTTGTTTGGATTTCTACGAATACCATTTTGGCTGAGAAAAGTTGCGCAGTCCTTTCAGCGCCCTATGGACCAAGTCACTCAGGGTCTTGATTTTGAGTTTTTTATAACTTTAATGTACTAACTGCTAGCAAGTCGGAAAAGGAACATAAGGATCAACTCAGCACTTTGTATCAAAGTTTTGAACATATGGTGTCGCTTCAAACCCTAAGAAGTATATTATCGGTGCCTCTTCTATTCAATTTCTGAGATATTACTTACCCGCAGATGGCATCAGGTCTACTGAGGAAGAGATAGACACAATTAAAAACTTCCCTCATTCGGACGCTGTCAATGTAGTTGAAGATTGAACGATCAATTCTTGGTTGTTTGCTTAAAATCAACTTCCCCAATTTTCGTGGAGGCATCAATATGACAGTCATCGTCTCATCGGTCGCTGTTCAGAAAGAAGATTGAAACATCGTCAGAAGTAACCTAACGATTTATTATTGTAATATTTGTTTTCAGACCTTAGTTTACTTAGTTCGCTTATTCCTTTTATATGTTGGTGTAACAATAAACAAATCTCAAGCGGCAGATCGGTGTTTTGGTTTTTTCGTCCGTTATAACTAAGCGTTTCCGAAATCTTCGAAGAACAGCGTGGGCCCGAGCGTAGCGAGAGCTGGGCATTAACGGTTTATGAGACGTGATTGACAGTTTCTGACGATGGAAACAGATCTGGCGGATTCAAACAGTTGGTGAAAGTTTGGATAGTCGCCGTTCATTTTTCCTGGTGCCGGTCAAGTCCTCTTTGAACAAGCAATATCTGGAACCTTTTTGGAATTGGGTCAAGTTCAACAATGCCTGGGTCAAAGAAGGGGCAGAGTGTCTTGGATGCAAACAGGAAAGTAAGTCATGGTGACTTGTCTGTTACTTGTAACGATGTGTCTGATGTTAAGCATGACATGGTTGATGTTACTGTTTCGCCGTTCAGGGATAATAGGAACATCAAACTCCCTAAATTTGAACCACGGTGTTTTGATGGAAACCCGGCTGATTATTTACAATTTGTAAAGGAGTTTGAGATCATGTTGAGTGGCTTTTTATTAAATGATGAATTGAAGTTAATGTATTTGATGAGATATTGCACTGGAGATGCTGCAAGAGCTATACAGTGTTGTAAGTTTATGAAGCCAAAAGAGGGCTACTACGAGGCTATGAGCACATTACGTCAAAGGTTTGGAAGACCTTCGATGATTGCAGGGAAATTATTCGACGCTGTTAAGGGTAATGGTGGTCAATTACAGGATGACTCCCAGGCACTCACTGAGTTTTTCGATAATTTGCTAATTTACAAGAATGGAATGATTTCGATGAATCGCATGAGTGACCCCAACTCGAGTTTTATACTAGAAGTAATAGCAAGACGTCTACCTACTCGACTGCAAAGGAAGTGGGTGAAAATAAGCTCCCGTATGGAGGATGAGTGTATCGAGCGAAAATTTGATGATATCCTGAAACTAGTAAAAGAGCGTAAATGAATCTATGAGCAAGTTCGCCAGTATATTACATCTCACCCCTAGAATAGAGCAGTCTGAGATCAAAATGCAATCATTGATGACGAGTAGGCCTCAGAGAGGTGGATATCGAGAAGGCTCCATGATGTCTAGTAATGCATATAGACTTAGTGAGTGTAACAGGTTTCGTAGTACATCCTCAACTGATAGGTTACAAGATGCAGGACAAACACGGTTGTGTTGTACACGTTTGCAAGAGGTGCATACAGAAGTGAACTGTGAACCGGTGAGTAACTTCAGTGATAAGCTAAATGTGAAATCAAGGTCTGACTCCGAATTGTGTGACGATAACGGTGCGGTGAAGAAGTCTGTAGTTGCAACTGGTAAGCCGTTGTTGAATAGAGTGTCACAGAATAGAGTTACTGCTTCAGAGTGGAGTTCTGACTCCACAAGTTTACAAAGTATTACTAGTCAGAGTGAAGTTATAAAACCTTTAATGATTTGTGAGGAGGAACCAAAATTGTCTACTTCTGTTATTAAAGAGTTTGAAAATGATGAAGTTGACGGTAAATTGAATATTTGTGGTAATGATCATGATAGTGCAGATTTGTCTTTGGTTGATCATTATGAGATGAGGGATATGCCTACTACTGCTAAGTTAAATAAAGGTTCTGTACAACTACAACGTGAAGTAGAATTGAACGCAGATGCAGTTCCAAAAGGTGTGCATACTTGTGAGACAGTCAGTGTAATTGATCAGCGTGTAGCCCACCTATCATCAGATGATAGTGCTAAACCCGAACTAGTAGTGAAAGACAGCAGTGGTGGTAATCTTGCAGTTGGACAACTATCTGAAAGCCGAACAAGAACAGCTTCTGATCCACCACTAAGACCATCACCTTGTGTCACTCAGTCATCGTTGGTGCTGTCATCCACAATGAAACAGACACCCATCAACTCAAGTATCTTGTGCAATGACTATGGTAGTATCAGTTTGTTTGAAAGGACGAATATCAATGGTCAGTTTAGTGAGGATAAGCCAAGTGTAAAGGAGAGAGTTATTGTTAAATTGACTTGCATGAATAAAGGCATGTCTAGTCTCAAGTTACTATTTGAATGTTATTATCTTTGGTGTAAATTACTCTGTTTCTATAATTGGTTGATGAGATATGTCGTGTGTTTGTTGGTCATCTATATTCTACGATACAATGACATGGGCGTGTTGCCGTTCAGATTTGAGGATATAGCTGATAGAAGGAAGTTAGCAAA